CATCCGGAAGTTCTCGATTCACATATTATTGAAGCCTGGCCTGGACAATTTTGAGCATTACTTTGCTAGCCTGTGAGAAGAGTGCAATTATGTGGTAGTTTGAACATTCTTTGGCATTGCCTTTCTTTGGGATTGGAATGAAAACTGACCTTTTCCAGTCCTATGGCCACTTCTGAGTTTTCCAAATTTGCTGGCATATTGAGTGCAGCACTTTAGCAACATCATCTTTTAAGGTTTGAAATAGCCCTATATCTTGGCTATTGGGAATAATTCTTCTATGAACGTTGGCATGCATGTATCTTTTCAAATTAGTGGGACTTTTATTTTTGGACATATACCCAACAGTGGCATTGGTGAATCATATGGTATTTCTATCTTTAGTTCTTTGAGGAAACTGCATACTATTTTCATGGTAGCTGCACCAATTTATATTCCCATCAACAGTTTACCAGATTCCTTTTTCTCCTCATCCTCACCAACATTTGTTATTTGAAGACTTTTTAATGAGAGCTATTCTGACAAGTGTGAAGTGCTATCTCCTTTTGCTTTTGATTTACATTTCTCTAACAATTAGTGATGCTGAGCATTTTTTCATGTGCCTGTAAGCCATCTTTATGTCTCATTTGGGAAAAAAATGTCTATTCAGCTTCTTCTCGCACATTTTTAAAATTAGTTAAAAAAAAAAATATATATATAGTTATATGAGCTGTTTGGGCTTTCTTGATGGCTCAGCAACAAAGAATCTGCCTGCAATACAGGAGACACAGGAGACTCAGGTTCTATCCCTGGGTTGGGAAGATCCCCTGGAGGAGGGCATGGCAACCCACTCCAGTACTCTTGCAGGGAAAACCCCATGGACGGAGGAGTCTGGTGGCCTATGGTCCATGGGGCTGCAAAGAGCTGGACATGACTTAAACGACTGAGCACTGCATAGCACAGCACATGAGCTGTTTATATATGTTGGATATTAATCCCTTATGGATATCCCATTTCTTTGTATCATTTTCAAATTCCTTCATTAATGATTTATAGCTTTCAGAGTATAGGTCTTTCACATTCTTGGTTAAGTTTATTCCTAGGTACTTCTTTCTTTTTGATGTGATTGTAAATGGGATCATTTCCTTAATTTCTCTTTTTTGATAGAGACTTCAGGGTTTTCTATATATAATATCAGGCCATATATAAATAGAGTTTTTCTTCTCTTCCAATTTTCTTCTCTTCCTTTTATTTCTTCTTTTCTGATTGCTGTGGCTAGGAAAAGTAGAGAAGTTTTGTTTTGTTTTTCATAAACTGCTTTTTAAAAAATATTTATTTGGCTGTGTCAGGTCTTATTTGTGGCACATGGACTCAGTAGTTTTGGTACAGTGGGCTTAGTTGCTCTGCAGCATGTGGGATCCTAGGTCCCGAACCAGGGATCAAACCCATATCCCCTGCATTGCAAGGCAGATTCTTAACCACCGGACTACCAGGGAATTCCCTGAGAAGTTTTAAAAGTTTAAAAGAACGTTATAGAATGGTAACATTCTACATTTTGATAGAGATTTGGGTTACATAGGTACATGTATTTGTTAAAACTAGAGTTCAATATTTATTTATAGTGTTTATATTTTGATGTAAAATTTACACAAAATAACATGCACAGTCTAAAGTGTTTGCTGAGTTTTGAAAAGTGCATGATCATCACAACACTGCTTTCCTCCACTATCAGAAGATAATTTTGCCTCCCATTTCACTGATAAAACAGAAGCCATCTGACAAGCATTCTCCATCTTACAAATATAGCCAAACCTCTCCTTTCTTCTTTTCATTTTGTCATTGTAAACAACATACACCTACTCCCATCTGAGGTCAATTTCTTCTTCTGGTTTTTTATCCTATCCTTTCCAATCCTCTCAGAAGCCTTGCTTTATTGGATTATTCCTCTCCTCCAGAACTTTCATTTTAAGGAGCGAGCTTGTTTAAGAACTAATGCTGGATTCTCTCTACTACCTGAGTCCTCACACCTGCCATTCCTTTTCCTTGGAACAAATTCCCTATTTCTTCCCCCTTACTTATCATAAACCCTACTTACCCTTCAGGTGTTTCCTTAGATTCTATTTACTTAGATATAACTTCCCTGACCTTCCATCCCACACTATGGTAGAAACTATTGAGCTTCCTGTTTCATGACACTCAGCTCACCTTTATTTGTTTTATGTATGTCTTGCCCATAAGACAAACATGGCCTCTGTCCTCAGTGTCTTATTAACTACTAACCTCCAGTACTTAGTCTAGCACCTAGCACATTAAATATTTGTTGCTGAATGAAAGACTTAATTAAAATTCAATCATCTGTAAAACGTAATGTTTTAAAATGTCTTCTCTTCCTTCATAGATTAACATTTTTATTCTAATAGCTATTAGAATAATAGCTTTCCTAGGATTGTGTTAAATTAGAAGGGCATTGTGACATTTCTGTTCTTATAATTTTCGATAAGTCTGTTCTAAAATATAAGTGACTGTCTTATACATAAAAGATCCTCTGCAAGAACTATCTCATAGTCATAAAAATTCTATAAAGTGGAAAGATCCTTCAAGATCCTATATTGCAACTTCCTTAGGTCATTCTTTAAAGGAAGAAAACAAAGTGCTATGGTACTTTTATGACTGTACTGTTACTGAATTTTTACTCAGATAGGGGTATCTTATGCTAAAGACCCCATGGGGGGAATTCTGGAAATTCAGAGTTCTTTTTACCTTTCAAGTATGAAGCGAGATGATCATCTGTTAGTTTACATAACTACATATGATAAATAGTTTAGCTTTTCTGAGCAAACCTAAATTCATTCAGCATTCACTGATAGACACTAGAGACTTAACACGAAACACAAATCACTCAAGTATGTAACCGTCACATATATATGAGCCTAAGCACATAAACACAGACACACACATATATGTACACACACGCACACAAAAAGTTTGAGGAAGTAGAGCTACTAAAACTAAATAAATGAGAGATCTTTACATACAAATATGTTTCTCCTTAGAAATAATTTCTGCTGCCAGCCTTGATGTAAGTCTTATTAACTTTACATAACTCCTTTCACCAGGTCAAAATATAGTACCAACTTAAGTACATTTGGGGCCTCCACAGACTAACTCTTCTTGAAGTCCTATTCAAATAAAACTAGACTATTGAGCCAGACTAACTGAAAAGGCAATGCAAGTTTTCACTGAAGCATAACAAAGCAAGCTTCTCAAAACACTTCTCCAGCTGTGTTATCTCCACACCAGCCCTTCAAAACAGGAGCCACCTCTACTCCCATCCTTCACTTAAGTATAATTTAGCTTTGATGCTTTGATGCTGTTGAACTGTGGTGCTGGAGAAGACTCTTTAGAGCATCTTGGATAGCAAGGAGATCAAACCAGTCAATCTTTTTTTTTTTTTCTCCAAACCAGTCAATCTTTAAAGAAATCAACCCTGAACATTCACTGGAAAGGCTGATGCTGAAGCTGAAGCTCCCATACTATGGCCAGCCTGATGCCAAGAGCTGACTCATTGGAAAATACACTGATGCTGGGAAACATTGAGGGCAGGAGAAGTGGGTGACAGAGGACGAAATGATTGGATGGCATCCCCAACTCAATGGACATGAGTTTGAGCAGACTCTGGGAGATAGTGAAGGACAGGGAAACCTGGCATGCTGCAGTCCATAGGGTGGCAAAGAGTTGGGCATGCCTTAGCAACTGAACAGCAACAAGCTTATATAGCTTTTAATTTTTCTTCCTTACCCTGAAACTGACCAGCAAACAAGAGCTCTTAGGGGATGTGTTGGAGGATGTGTTTGAGGAGATATCCAGAGGCAATCCACAATGATTACCAAGTGTCCCATTTCATGGCAGTCTCTTTCCTCAAGGAACTAAGGAACAGAAGATAAAAGGAACAATCAATAAGCATGGTGGAAAAGCAACATGTTACCTGTTGAGTGGTGGGAAAAATTAGGGGTTCTGAGATAGGGCAGAGAAGCCTGAAGGTGAGCCTAGGGTTGAACCCGGTCCTTGACAATGAATTACCTAACCAGTATTTGTGGAGCTTCCTGTCTCATTTCTCAGTGGTCGCCATACTGTGGTATTCTCCTTTACAGTCAAGGCTTCCTTTAGCCAGATGACATAAGAAAGAATAACATGTGTACAGGCAGCTAAAAGTTCTTCCGATATACCAGAGGTAGTTTGGGATGGGAAAGTGGTCTCTGGGCTTCCACGGTGACGCAGTGGCAAAGAATCCACTTGCCAATGCAAGAGACGCAAGAGACACCGGTTCCAGCCCTGGTTTGGGAAGGAAGATCTCTGAAGTAGGAAATGACAAACAGCTCCAGTATTCTTGCCTAAAAAATTCCATAGACAGAGGAGCCTGGCGGGCTACAGTCCACGATAGGGTTGCAGAGTCCCACAGGACTGAGGCTGACAGACTCAAGTGGTCTCCGAGGGCCCTAAAGTCTAAAACGCGCGTGTCCAAGTGGCTCCACACTCCTTAGTTTAGCAGTCCAGAGGGGTAGTTAAATCCCACGCAAAGCGCTGAGTGGCTCAGGGTACATGCTCCTGGGAATATCCAGCTGGCTTCAGCCTCCAGAATAGCCAACTCGCGTTGGGTTTCCGCCAGCTCGCGTTGGGTTTCCGCCAGCTCAGGCCGCCTGCGGTCACTCCGCCCACTGCCTCTGTGGACCTCCGCCCCCTTCTTTCCCTTCCGCGCTCCGCCATTTCCGACTACGCCTCTAGCTCATTTGGGCCCTCCTCGGCTTCCGTCCCAGATGATCCCTCCCCGAGGCTGCTGCTGCCTCCTCCTCCCGGAGCTGGGGCCGCCTCCTGGGCCAGTGGCGTAGCCGGACTCTGCGTCGCGGCCAGCTAGATAGGGGCGGAGGTCCGGAGCCCGGTCTCGACCCGAGCGGGGGGCCATGGAGAAAGCGGCCCGAGGCACTCTCCACACCGACTAACGCGGGCCCGTTGCGGCTGCAGGCGCCATGGACCGAGCCCCCGCAGACCAGGTACGCGGGCTTGAGCCAGGCCGGTCGGGCCGGGAGATGGGGGTCGCGGCTTCCTCCCGGGCGGGCCCTGGTCTCCGAGCGTGGGCCCGAACGGCCGGAGCCCTCGGGTTCCTGCTGGCGCAGACCTCCTTTCCCCGGGATCCTGGCGGCGCCCCTCTTCCTGCATTGTTTCAGATGCTGTCTCGAGCTTGGGGGCTTTTTCAGCCCCGATTACCCCCGGGCTGGGGACTTGCTTTTGGCCCCCCTGACTTGTTTGGTGAAAGGGGCCAGAAGATTCCCAAGTTGTCCGTTCTTTCCAAGGAGAGGGTTTATAACTTCACCAAATACTACCCCCCCCCTCCCCCTTCCCTTCAGTTTTGGAATGTGTTTTCAAGGTGGAAAGGCTTCTCACTTAGAAAAACTGTCAGGGAATGTGTGATAACTACAGATGAAGGAGGGGTTATGGGCTTTTAAAGATCTACGTTCCCTTGAGCGAAGCATGGTTTTTGCAGTGGTTTTAGGGAGGTGTTCCTTTTTAGATATGAAATACTGCGGTTTCCCTTTGCCCTTCTAGCCAGTTATTTTGCCAAAAAAAAAAAAAAAGTATTTTTAAAACATCGATTTTATATTTTAAGGTGTAGGACCCGAAGGATGAGTTCATTTCCGAGCCCATTTTCGTATTCACGAAGTCCCATTAGTGTTTCAGTTGCATCAAATTATTGATTATCCAAGCTAGTAGGTGCTGGGAGTCTGGGATGGTGACAGTGTTTAAAAAAAAAAAAAGGAGAAAAATCTAAAATAATAGTTTTCTTCCCTCCAAAAAGTTTCAGTATTTTCCATTCTGAGATCTGTATGAAAGGATTTAATTCGATGAAATCGAAGTTTACTCACTGTCAATTCCCCCTCTTCAGTTGAAGGCCTTGCCCAGTAATGAACTCGGCAAATAGATGAAGGGAAAGGAGAGATTAGGGATTAGCCTGATTACTTTACAAATGGATAATTAACACCTGAATAACGAGAAAAGATTTCCCAAATTCTTGTATTTGTATATATGTAGCTGGAATTTATGTGTATATATGTAGCTAGTCAGAGCGAGTTCAGATTTTGAAATCGGGCTCTTTCAGCAGACAGCCGCTTCCTGGTTGTGGATATTTGTTTTGTTTTTTTCTTTTTCTTTTTTTCCTTTGTATAAAAATCTTTATTTAATAAAAACTTGTGTGAATATGACTGAAAACACAAGCGAGTTTTATGAAACAGTATGTGTATTTACCAAAGCAAAACTGATGGGGGCCCCTTGACAAATTAATGCAGGCTTTCCTGTGATCCAAGGTATTTTATATGCCCCCATATCCAATTTAATGAAAATTAATTTTTCAAGATACCTATCAAAAAGCACCCGAAATTTCAAAGCCTGAGAAGTGAATAAGAAATTTTCTTGAATGATTTTCCAGTACTTGTGTCACTAATGAAAGGGTTAAACATTTTGTTCCTTCACTAGGATGATAGAACTGTAACTAGTAATGCTGTCATGTATATACTTATGGTTCCATGCATATGGTTCCAGGTATATATTTATGGTTCCTTTCATCCTAGAGGAAATGTAATTAACTATTTAGATGGTAACTTTTAGCATAGTTATTTGTATGTAATTATCTTGACAGCAAGTGCTATGAGCAAATTCTTTAGAGAGCCTCTTTGTCTTTCATCCCGTATCTTTGCAGAGTCCACAACTTATTAAAATCTTGTAGAAATTTAAGCTTCAGAAAGAAACATAGATGTAGGTTGAAGAATTTTTCTTTTTTTTCTCTCCAGTACCTCCTACCTCTTCCCTTAAACTAATCTTAGGGGATTATGAGAGAATAATCTGAATCAATTCCTCTTTCCCCCACACTTAAAGGAAGCTGAGATCCCAAGAAGTGATGCTACTTTGCCTAGTTCATGCTGTTAATTCAGTTAATTCAGGGGTCGATGGGTGACCTGGAAGGAGTCTCCTTCATTTTAAATTAGCACTTTTCTGATGGCAAAACTCCATTATTTTCATTATATTCTCATATTCATCATTGAAAAAGGCACAGAATTATTAATGATAGATTAGGGGCTGGAACTGAGATCTGTCCACTGTGTGGAGTTCTTGATTGCTTTCACTATACCACTGAGTAATGTAATGGCTTTTCCAAGTTATTTGGAACGTACTTTTATATTTTTAAATGAATTTAATAGGTAAAAGTCATTAAAAACAGATGCCACATGTGCTGAATTTCCGTTTTTCTCTCAAAACATTTATTTTAAACCAGTGTTGGTTTATATTCAGAATTTCTGGGAATGTCTACAGTATTAAAAGTTATTATAATATTATAGTGGTTGAGTATTCATAAAAGTTTGATTTTTAAAGACTGGTACTAATACGGACTTTCTGCACTTTGTCTTAATCTAAGTGAAATCCTTGGAGTATTGCACAAGTGTAACTTAAAAAATATCTAAGCGTGTTTTGCCTGAAGATATTCATGTTGTAGTTTTTGGAATTACTTCTTGTTTATATATATATGTATATATATATATATATATATATATATATATATATATAATCTTTGTATAAAAGTATAAATTCTGTGTGTGTTGATCAGGATTATAAAAAGGAAGTTACTGGGAATACATGCTAGCTAGTAATCTTAATTGCAGTAATGACTATTTGAAAAAAAATGTTACAACCATAAGAGAATCTCAGGAGTAACCTCTTTTAGCAAGACTGTTTTAAATCAAAATGAGTAGCTTATTTTAATTTCCAGAGTTAGTTCTGAGAAAGGATACTGCTTAGTATAGTTCTTTTTTTTTTTTTCTTTTAGTGCATTTAAAAAAAAAATCTGTTTTGTTTATTTAGCTGTGCCGGATCTTAGGTGTTTGGTTTTTTTTTTTTCCTGTCCTTAAAGGGGGAAAAAAAAAACTGACATAAAGGTATGTGAAGACTAAACGGTGGAGTTGGTTTATAAAGTTTTTGTATTTCTATTTTTAGGACATTTAGGACAGTGTTTTGAGATTTTTTTTTTTTAAATAAACTGACTTTAGAAGTGACAGAACACTTGAGGTTGACAGTCTCTTGTATTATCAAATAATTTAAACACTGGCTTAGTTTTTAGTACATTAATGTTAGATAAGTTCTTTTAAAGTAATTTGCAAAATTATTGATCACTAATGCCTTTAATTCTTAGAAAACCAGATGTGTGATAAGTATACATGGTTTCATGCAAAGAGCTGTTTACCAATAAAGGTATAAAATTATCTGGCTTATAATTTTTTTCTTTAAATAATTACAGATGTCGAATAGAGTCAGCACTGCAAACTATATTCTAAATAAGTTACTCTAAAATGTTTATTATTCAGTAATACTTAGAGTTAGCTTTTATAGATCTAAGTAAGCGATTGCCTTAACATTTTAAAAATGCTTTTATAATCAAAAAGAAAGTAAAGAATGCTCATTTAGTGAAAATATCATTTGAAAATTTAAAGAGGCATTTTCCCCCTAAGTTTTTAAGTCAAAGGGGAATTAAAAAGTGTAATTAAACATTTTTTAAAACGTAATAAAATACTGCATATTAAAATGTATGGGATGTGGCTGAAGCTATACTCTGAGGCAAATGCGTAGTCATAAATGTTTTCGTTGTTCAGCATTTTAAAAGGAAGTTAAAAATTAAGCATCCAAGGAAAGAAGGGGGGTGGGGGGAGAACTCCTCAAAGAAAGAGAAAAAATGGATAGTCCAAAAACTAGTATTAAATTTAGAAAGTTAGGTTTTAGAAAAGTACCATCAGAGTTTAACAAGATTAAATGTGGTCCATTTTAAGAAAAGAGGGAAAATGTATAAATAGGAAAGCAAGTAGGCAGAGTCTAAGTTAAATGCTTTGAATTTTCTCTTCAGTATTTTCTAAAGTCTTGCAAAACTTGTTATGTATAACTACTGATAGATTTTGGCAAGTGGCTTACTTTCAGTAAAAGACGTTCCAACCAGAAAACAATAAAGCCAGCAGGTATCTCTTAAGCACTTTTTCCTTCAGGAGACATTTATTTTCTCTTTGGTCATGATACATAAAACATCTTAGTGCTTGATATATCCTATTTACCTTAATATAGCAAGAACGTGGAGGGTTTCCATAGTTGTATTTTTTCTGTAGGTGTGTAGTATGTACTGACATTTCACTGTAGGAGCACGCTTTGTTATGTTCTACTTCAGTTTTGATTTTAAGTGGGTGTCATTTTTCTATTGCTTAATCTGGGGAAATTATTTGTACTCTTTTGAAAGTTCTATCTCAGAGGAATTTAGTATGCATTCTCTGCTGATGTGTGCTTCATAATAGCGTGGTACCTCTTTAGTACATGAGTTCAGAGTGTATTTGTTAAATTATACAGGCTCTCAGTGATCTGAATGCATTTGTTTAATAAACTTTTAAATAAGATTTCTATAGTTCCTCGTTCAGATACAGGTTTCTGGGATTATGATTTTTCATTAACTTGGAAAATTCTGAAGTAATTTCTGAAAGATAAAGGTGATTTTACAGTACAGTTACTTTTTTGTTTGTTTTTTAAGCAAATAGTAGTGCAGGAGTAGATTTTGTTCTGTGTTTAGACTTCTTCCATATTTTTGTTTTCTTTAAGGAGACAAAAATTTGCTATAAAATTTCTGATTTCTTAACGATCTTGGCATAAATAGACTAAACAAATACAAACTGAGGAGTATCATTGTATGAAGTAACTGGTTAATTTTTTTGTAACATTTTGTTGTCTACTATGTAAGACATTTTTTCCTTTAATTTCTATATTAATATAATGGAAATAACTGCCAAAATCTGTTGCTTGCTTAACATATTATCTGTATGACCTTTATTATGTGAAATTTTAAAAAATAGTTTGCCATATGAACATTACTTTTCATGCCTGAGGACAACTGAGGCTGCATTTTGATGTATGATACTGAAGGCCCCAAAGTCACGACAAACAACTTTTAAAGCCATAGGGAGTTGTAACTGTAGGAGAAAGTTTGCCAGTCTGTTCCTACTAGTGACATCTTCTGTTTGTGCAGCTGTTGACTACAGCAGCTTCTCTTTTTTGGTAAAAACAAAGGATCATTTCAGTGTTTGTGAGTTTTATTGTTGAATGCCAACATCTAGAATTGCATTTAGAATAGAAGCCAACACAGACTTTAATTTTTTGGGACATATACTGTGTGTATGTGCAGATATTAGTTATAAATTATGCATGGCACTTTTTGAATAGTGATTACCTAAATTCACAAAACATATAAAGAACAGATGAGACTAGGTATAAAAAAACTTGTTGCAACTTTTTTTTTTTTTTTTTTGGCTAGTCTGTGTGGCTTGTGGGGTATTTGTTTCCTCACCAGGGATTGAACCCATGCCCCCTGCAGTGGAAATGGAGTCCTAAACACTACACTGCTGGGAAAGAGCAAGGATATGAATTTGTTGTTACCAAAGTAATTTATGAGTTGGTATTATTTGGGGGTATCAGGAAAAGTTATTTTTAAATTGCCTTATTTCTTTATATTAGTATTCTTACTTTTTTTCATATGGGATTGAGAATTTAATATAACCATATACCTTGAATTAGAAAAAAATTGCAAGTGTCTTCTAATCCAGATTTATAAAACTGTTCGGGATTCTCATATGTTCAAAGGTTAATATTTTATACCTTAGTAAATAAGTTTTGAGTCCTAATGACTATCGTAGTGAAAATCACTGGCCTATTAACATTTGTTTTTGCCTCCTATGTTGAGATTCAAGAAACCAACTCACACGTATTTATGAGTACAATTATGATACCTACTTCAGATTTGGTCAGTAGTACAAAAGTAGACCTCAAAGTTACATCAGGTGGGGAGGAAGGATATTAAATTGATACTGCTGTATAGTTCAGATTTCTTCCCCTAGACATGTGTTTTGGAATGTTCACAGTGAACTCTTTTTGAACAGTTTCAAAAAAGGCTGTATATTCAGCACATATATTTAGCATGTCAAGTCTTTTCTTTAGATTTTTTTGGATTTTCTACTGATTACTTTTGTGAGAAACATGCATGAAATTTATTCAGAGAAATATGCCTTGATAGGAGCTTCTAATAAATGCCATCCCAGTGGGGAAAAAGTTCTGATTAGGTCTATTGCTTTCATGTAGTTGATTTGAGTTGTTGAAATATTGGATTGCGTTCACTGGTTTTGCAAAGTGTTTATCTTTTAATATTGTTATGTTTGTGGGTTTTTTCCCCCAAGTCGCCTTGAGATGTTTGTGGTTTTTTAACATTCTGCTTTTACAGAATATGCCTATAGATTATTTTATACTAAAATTTAAAAAATTTCAGTTAAATGTAGCAAACACAGAAAGAAAAATGCATAAAACCAGTGTACAGCTAAATGAGTTATTGGATGAAGACCTTGTGCCACCCATGTTAGGATGTAGTATTTTGTCGGGTACCTCAGAAGCTCTCCCAGGTGCCTCTTCCCAATCACAGCTTCCTCTTTCCTAAGAATAATTCCTGTCCTGACTTTCATTGCTCTTCTTTACTTTTCTTTATAGTTTTGTCTCTAATTTGTACATCCTTAGTATGGTAGTTTGGAGGAGCCTGGTAGGCTGCAGTCCATGGGGTCGCTAAGAGTTGGACACGACTGAGCATCTTCACTTTGATTTTTCACTTTCATGCATTGGAGAAGGAAATGGCAACCCTCTCCAGTGTTCTTGCCTGGAGAATCCCAGGGATGGGGGAGCCTGGTGGGCTGCCGTCTATGGGGTCGCACAGAGTCGGACATCACCGAAGCAGCAGTATGGTAGTGTATTATGTCTGTTAAACCTCTATAGATTTATAAGAAAAGATAAAAATAAACTAAAATGGGGCACGTATTCTGGATTATCTTATTTACTCAGTTTGTTTGCTGGAAACCTGAAGTGCTCACTTTTTCCTCAATGTAACTGTGAAGCAAGTTTTTCTCCCTTGTGCCAGGTTGTTTTTTTCACTTATTGTAGACATTATCCTTCCTTTTAATTTAACCATACTAATCTAATTTCCTGCAGTGGACAGAAGTAAACTTTTTTAGGCTATTCGAACAAATATAGAGTAGTTGTCCTTCAGAACTCTGTTCAGTGATTTTTTTCCACTAACAAAATTAACTTAAAACACAGTGTTTTGTCTGAAGAGTGAATTTGATTTTTGTTTTGTTTTGTTTTTTTACTACCAGCTTTATTTTTGGACTCCAAGGTATGACTTCCTTGTACTCTTGATTGTTTTAACAGCTTTGGTTATGTAAGAAATGACTTCATTGAAATGTAGTAACCTTTGATAAATTTTTTCCTCCAGTTGATGGCTTTGTCTAAATAACATAATCAGATTAATTTTTTAAAATTTGACCTTGCTCTTCCTTTGAATGTTTTGTGAATACTGAGAAGACTGTCTCTTTTATTGTTAAGTTGTGAATTTGTATTATTTAAGTTTTTGCTTGTTTGTTAGTAATGTGTTTCACTTTCTCTTTGAAGAATGTCAAGCTGTCAGCTGAGGTAGAACCATTTATTCCCCAGAAGAAGAATCCTGATACATTTATGATCCCTATGGCACTCCCAAATGATAATGGAAATGTTTCTGGTGTAGAACCAACTCCAATTCCCAGCTACCTGATTACCTGTTATCCATTCGTGCAAGAAAACCAGTCCAATAGGTAATTTGTTTATTATTATTTTCTTTTGGTGGGGGATGAAAGGGGTAGGGAAATGTAGAAGTTTGCAAAGCACACTTCTTAATTTTTTCCTTTTGTAACTTTTAAATATTAACTATTTCTCTACTTTCTAAGAGGAGTAAATGAAACCAAATGATGTAGAAATTTTTAAATTGTTGGCATGGATTATTATTATTTTCTCATTCTTTCTAAGAGAAAATGAAATTCTTTGTGTGTATCTCCTGTAATAAGTTATTGAAATTTTTTTTGAAATAAACTGACTCAACGGGAGGAAGGAATTATTCAGAAAGAGGTGAACAGAAACCCTTTTTTTGAGGATAGGCATATAATCCTAATTGCCAAGACAGTCTGTTCTAAGAAGAATGTATCAAGGGGTGGCCCTTAACTTTGAAGATTTAGTGGCCAGTTAGCTTATTATATCTCTCTACTCTTGATTGTAGTTTAAATTTAGTTTCTGTGCTATAGTCACGGAGTGATTTAGCAAAATGTTTACTGCTCGGGTAATGTGTGACCTGGTGGTTAGGGTGTGTCTTGTGATAGCCTTTCTAACCCTGCTTAGACTGTCTGAATGATTAGCACTTCATTGGTGCAGTTCATCATATTATATCACACATAAAAATTGTACTTCTCTAGCACTGTAGGATAAGTGGATGAGGTAGCTGAACTCTAGCCTTTGCCCAACCACCCCTGAGGGCTAAGGCAAGTCAGTATTTCTACACATCTTTAACCGTTGTGTCACACTAGTGTGTCCGAGCACATTCTTTGAGAAATTCTGGATATATGAGATATATGGTCAGTAAGTTACTCTCTCAGGTATTAAATATTCAAGTTAATACTCTAGAACTCTTTAATAGTTTGTGGCATTAGGCACAGTAGAAGCTAAAGGATTCTGCTCAATTGAGTCAGGGTAATACTACATTAAAAATCTTTGACCTATATTGGACTATGCTTGAAGTAATTTATAAACTAAAAATACTATTGCAGTATTTGACAAAGTGGCCAAGTGTACAGTATATTAAGTTTAACTTTTCTTATCTTATCAAATAATTTTGAGAATTCATGAGTAGGCCAGCCATCAGATTATTTTAAAATATTTTTAGAATTATGGCAGGGAACATTTTTCCCTTGTGCTTTGTCATGGAATAGTGAGGAAAAGCTCTGTAGTCCAGCTCTCTATGACCTCTCAGTCATCAGCAGCAACTGTCTGCAGGGAGGACTGATGAGATGGGAAGGACTGGTGCTTTATAGGAAGGCATCACACTAGAAGAACCCTAATGCTGGAGATAAGATGACACTGAACAAACCTGCCTTTTTCTTGTCTTTCTCTTGGACATCTGGCGCCTGCTTCCATTGTCAAGAAGGGGAGCCAGGGAAAGAGCTGGACTTGGCCAAGTGGTTAGGGGAATATGGGAAAGGAGTAGAAGGCCCTCGGCCTGAACTAAAGAATGGAGGTGGAATAATCAAGTCACCTACTGTGAAGACCACCTTATACAGTGATCACCTTACCCTGCTTTTTGCAGAAGGCTGTTACAGTTAGTTGCTGCCATTGAATGGGAACTTTGGACTGCCATTACTGGCAGATTCAGCAGATAGGTGTTTAACTTTTAGGCAGAAATATTGTGAGGTTGAGGGAGAGGGCTACAAATAAGAATACTCTGTACATTTTAAATTTTGGAATGCAGTAAACTCTCAGGTTAAATTTATTTGTGTGTGTATGTCCTCAGTCATGTCTGACTCTTTGTGACCTTTTGGACTGTAGTCCACCAGGCTCCTCTGTCCATGAGACTTCCAGGCAAGACTACTGGAGTGGGTTGCCACTTCTTAATCCAGGGGATCTTCCTGACCGAGAGATCAAACCCACAGTTCTTGGATCTCCTGCATTGCAGGCAGATTCTTTACCACTGAGCCATCAGGGAAGCCCGGATTCCTTTATACTATCAATTAAAATTATTATTACACATATGTAAAAACTAATTATAGCAAGGAAATTGATAAAAAATTATCTCTTTTTCAGAATTATTATGAGGTTACAGTTGACGCTAGTGGTAAAGAACCTGCCTGCCAATCTAGGAGACTTAAGGGTTGCAGGTTTCGATCCCTGAGTCAGGAAGATCCCCTGGAGGAGGGAACAGCAACCCACTCCAGTATTCTTGCCTGGAGAATCCCATGGACAGAGGAGCCTGACAGGCTAGGGTTCATAGAGTCACAAAGAGTGGGACACAACTGAAGCAACTTAGCACATTTTATACTGTTATTTTCTTTTATTAAAATAAGTTGAGAATTTGATTTGTATTACTTTCAGACATGCATGTCAATAGATTTGTTCTTTTTTGATTTGGTTTTACAGACAGTTTCCATTATATAACAATGATATACGATGGCAACAGCCTAATCCAAACCCTGCTGGACCATACCTTGCTTACCCCATTATATCTGCTCAGCCACCTGTTTCTACAGAGTATACATATTATCAGCTGATGCCAGCACCATGTGCACAAGTTATGGGTTTCTATCATCCTTTTCCTGCACCTTACTCCAACACTTTTCAGGCTGCAAATACTGTCAATACTATAACCACAGAATGCACTGAGCGTCCAAATCACCTTGGACAGGTCTTCCCATTGTCTGGCCATCGAAACAGAAATAGTAATAGAGGACCAATGCTCCCAAAAGTAAGTGACCAAATCTGATTGGCTTTTGTGTTTGCTATTTCTGTTGTTAGTGTAAGTAATTTGCTACTTGTATTGATTAGCCTTTACTGCAGAGTTTTACTTATTAAAAAACAATTAAGGATGTAGCATTTTTAAAATAACTTTTTCCATTACTTTCGTTCCTCATTCTTAAATGGTGATATGATTTACAGTCATTTTCAAATCAGAGAGTTTACATAAGCATAACGCACAAATATTTCCAAATTATTTTAATTTAGTGATAAAAATTGCATAGTGACACAGTTTTAGTAAGGGATTAGTTTGACTCCTTTCCTAGCAGTGTTAAGTGGCTAATGTACATCTAGATATTTCAGTCTTCAGAAATAAGCAGGATATATTATGGAAAAGAATATTATGATGCATTAAGTCTCTTCAACTTCATTGTTTTCTATTCTCTCAGTTTTTATTAGGAACAGCGCTTTGTTCTTCAGAGAATGCTTTACTATATTATATGGACGCAGGGTCTCCTAGGACTAAAAAAATTTAAAGATAAATGTGCGAAATGACTTTTGTCAACACCAGCCTTTTGACTAAGTTAAACAAAAAGACCCAAAGGCCTTGAAATCACAGGAGAGTTAAGGTTAATTCTAGGTGTCTGTTTCTTAATTAAAAGATTACTTTTCTGTTGAAGCCGTAGTGTCAAAGCAAATAAAAAAAACACGATTTCTTCTCAGCACTTTTGAGCTAATGGAAAGCAGAGTGATTAGATGCCTCTTAACGTCTGTTATTGTCAAGGAGTTCATGCTTTCCTAGATTCCATTAGCCCAGCGTCTTCAGTGAAAACTCTATGCTGTCTTCTGGCATGCTTTGTTCAGGTTAAAATACAAACAAGCTGCAGAGGTTGCTTTGAAAAGCTTATTAGTTTTTGTCCATGGAAACTTTCTGGGTCAAGGGAAATCCTTTTGGGATATCTCAGAATGAAAAGAAATAAGTATTGGAAATAGACAATAGTATATAACTTTGAAGTATTGAAGTAACATGATTTCTCAGAGTGCATTTCCAGCACTTTAAGAAGTTATCTAAGAAGTTAAATTTGGAGTTCTTTTGTATAAATTGCTATTAAGTGATGGATACTCATATTTTTAAAAAATGAAGGAAAGGATCAGCTTTTAATATTTTCTTTTTAAACTCTAAAGCAGAAATTTCTTTTGTACTTCGTTGCTCTCATGAAACTAAAATTGAGCTTTTTTTAAGTTACCACCCTTTTTATCGATACTGCCTTTTTAAGTAAAAATTTATAACCCCTTATTTAATGTGATTATACTCTTATTATTTATTAGTAAGAAAATTTAAAATGCAAATGGCAATTAAAATAAATATATCTCACTAATTATAGTAGTACTAATGATTATTTGAAAAGTCATATATAAATGTGTATATAATTGCATTATATAGCCTACTATGATTGGCTGTAGATAATTTAATGAACTCCTAACACAGTTACCCTGTTTCCTCATGGATTGAGAGTCACTCATTTGTAGCCTACATTTAAGTGTATTTTTAAAGGATGAATTGATATATTTTACAATGTTTATTAGTACATTGAATAGGATTTTAATTTTTTTTTTCACTTCCATCAGCAACAACTCATACAACAGCACATAAAAAGCAAAAGACCACTGGTGAAAAATGTAGCTATTCAGAAAGAGACAAGTGCAGCAGGTCCCGATAATCGATCAAAAATCGTGCTACTGGTAGATGCTTCACAGCAAACTGGTAAGGCAAGATTTTTCTTACGTATATACATCATAGATTTTAAAATATTTTTTATTTTATTGAAGTAGAGTTGATTTACGGTCTTGTGTTAATGTCTGCTGTACAGCAGTGGTTTCATTTATATATACATATACAGTACAGTCTCTTTAATTTTCTTTTCCATTATGGTTTATCATAGGATATTGAATACAGTTTTCTGTCTTGTACAGTAGGACCTTGTTGTTTATCCATTCTGTATATAACAGTTTGCATCTGCTCATCCCAAACTCCTAATTCACCCCTCCCCCAGCACCCCTCCCCCCCACACACACTTTGGCAACCTCAAGTTTGTTCTCTAGGTCTGTATACATTGATTTTTATCTGTTATGTATTGACTTTGTAATTGTAGACTTTACCACTTTTTAGGATTTTGGACTTTGAGTCTTCTGTTTATCCTGCCACTTTGTGAAATTCTTCAGGAAAGATAAAACAGTCCCATGTTCTTAAAGTTCTTTCAACTTGGGGGCTGGCTTATGTAGTTTTGAGCAGAATTTGAGGTTTCCTTATCCCCTTATAGGAGTGAAGCTGTTCAGAAGTCAGAGATGGAATTCTGAAGACATTGTAGAAATTTGAGGGACTACTTTTGGTAGAAGTTAGAATTAAACATGTTTTATTTTATTTTTATTTTTCATAGGTTTGTCAATAACTAGATTAAAATCCCTTTAAAAACATTCTATGAATATCTTTATAGAAGAACTTACCAAGTTTTGTGCACCATGTTTTAGCATAGATAACATGTATCCTCAAACAAGTAAAAATTTGGGGCTAGTTGTATATCATTTTGTTAAAAGTTTTCAGAGGACTGTGTAAACTTTAAAGTAAAAAGCTTTATCCTGACAATAGGTAAGAATTAATAAGTAGTCTTAAAATCCTCACTGATTTCCAGTTACATGTGAAGTTTCATTTTGTACCCCTGATAATGAGCTTAGTAACTATGGAGTGGAGAGCTGTCTTCTCTTGTTCATTGTCATTTAAAAATCCTTATTGATGATCCAGGACTAGATCTTTTCAAAGGCGTGTTTGCTTTTTTTACCCTTTACAGTTTTTACAAAAATACTGTCTTGGCTTGAAATGAATTAGATGGTACATACTTCCTTTCATTTGTACTGTAGCTTTTATGTTGGACATCCTTTCAGTTATCCTTTGACAGTTGCTTAGGTTCCTTAGGAGTAAGAAAGAATCTGGGAATCAGTTAAAAAACATCTTGCTGATAGTACAGTCATTGTATGGTTTGTAGGGCATAAAGTGATAAGATTAACAGACTGATGAATGCTTGGAATGGTTTATGATAAAGAGCCATAGGGTAATAGATGACAAAGTTCTGTATGTTTTGGTTGTTCCTAGACACAATGACCCATTTCTACATGCTTTGAACCCTAGAACTACTTTGAAAATTTGTTCTAATGTCTTTGGTTTGCTCATTAAGTGACCACAAAGACAACCTTCTGAATCTCAAGAGTTAGAAAGTGAAAAGATGAAGATATAATTTGAGTAGAAAGAAAAAAATAATAATAATTTGAGTAGAAGATTATACCTTCTATCAGTATTCTTATTCTTCAGGTGGTTCTTAATCAGGATGAATTGGTGTCAATTTTGGTAGAATTTCTGTCCTTTATTAAAGGACAGAAATGGTATGGACCTAATAGAAGCAGAAGATATTAAGAAGAGGTGGCAAGAATACACAAAAGAACTGTACAAAAAAGATCTTCACGGCCCAGATAATAACGAAGATGTGATCACTCACACTCACCTAGAGCTGGACATCCTGGAATGTGAAGTCAGGTGGGCCTTAGGAGGCATCACTACGAACAAAGCTAGTGGAGGTGATGGAATTCCAGTTGAGTTATTTCAAATACTGAAAGATGATGTTGTGAAAGTGCTGCACTCAATATGCCAGCAAATTTGGAAAAGTCAGCAGTGGCCACAGGACTGGAAAAGATCAGTTTTTATTACAATCCCAAAGAAAGGCAATGCCAAAGAATGCTCAAATACTGCACAATTGCACTTATCTCACACACTAGTAAAGTAATGCTCAAAATTCTCAAAGCCAGGCTTCAACAATATGTGAACATCTTCCAGATGTTCAAGCTGGTTTTGGAAAAGGCAGAGGAACCAGATATCCAATTGCCAACATCTGTTGGATCATTGAAAAAGCAGGAGCGTTCCAGAAAAACATCTATTTCTGCTTTATTGACTATGCCAAAGTCTTTGGCTGTGTGGATCACAATAAACTGTGGAAAATTCTGAAAGAGATGGGAATGAATACCAGACCACCTGACCTGCCTCTTGAGAAACCTGTATGCAGGTCAGGAAGCAATAGTTAGAACTGGACATGGAACAACAGACTGGTTCCAAGTAGGAAAAGGAATACGTACGTCAAGGCTGTATATTGTCACCCTGCTTATTTAACTTATGTGCAGAATACATCATGAGAAACGCTGGGCTGGAAGAAGCACAAGCTGGAATCAAGATTGCTGGGAGAAATATCAATAACCTCAGATATGCAGATGACACCACCCTTATGGCAGAAAGTGAAGAGGAACTAAAAAGCCTCTTGATGAAAGTGAAAGAGGAGAGTGAAAAAGTTGGCTTATAGCGCAACATTCAGAAAACTAAGATCATGGCATCTGGTCCCATCACTTCATGGGAAATAGATGGGGAGACAGTGGAAACAGTGTCAGACTTTATTCTTTTGGGCTCCAAAATCACTGCAGATGGTGATTGCAGCCGTGAAATTAAAAGACGCTTACTCCTTGGAAGGAAAGTTATGACCAACCTAGATAGCATATTAAAAAGCAGAGATGATACTTTGCCAACAAAGGTCCGTCTAGTCAAGGCTATGGTTTTTCCAGTGGTCATGTATGGATGTGAGAGTTGGACTGTGAAGAAAGCTAAGCATTGAAAAATTGATGCTTTTGAACTGTGGTGTTGGAGAAGACTCTTGAGAGTTTCTTGGACTGCAAGGAGATCCAACCAGTCCATTCTAAAGGAGATCAGTCCTGGGTGTTCATCAGAAGGACTGATGCTGAAGCTGAAACTCCAATACTTTGGCCACCTCATGCAAAGAGTTGACTCTTTGGAAAAGACCCTGATACTGGGAAAGATTGAGGGCAGGAGGAGAAGGGGACGACAGGATGAGATGGCTGGATGGCATCACTGACTCGATGGACATGAGTTTGAGTAAACTCCGGGAGTTGGTGATGGACAGGGAGGCCTGGCGTGCTGCGATTCATGGGGTCGCAAAGAGTCGGACACGACTGAGCGACTGAACTGAACTGATAGGTAGAATACAAATTATAGTTTAAAGAATTTGTAATATGTTTTTACTCTTGAACACAAGCTTGTATTACTTAAAAGAGTTTAGTGAGATGGCTAGGTATAAAATAATACACAGAAGTTAATTACAGTGTGTTACCAATAATCAGAATTTAAGAAAAGATATCATTTACAATAACAACAAAAATATAGTTTCTGGGATAAACCTGACAAAGTATAAGACATTTATATTGAAAACTAACTTTATTATAGGACATTTTTAAAAAACCTGTCACTTGCTCATTCAGGATGATCTGATGTTGCAAATGGCATTTTTCCCTTTGTTAATCTACAAATTCAGTTCATTTCTGATAAAAATTCCAATGGGGGTTTTTGGAGAACTTGACAAACTAATTTCTAAAATAAAAGAGCACTGATCTGAAAAGAGCCATGACTTCCTGGAAAACAGCGTTTCCTCTTGGGAATTTCCTGGTATGTCAGTGGCTAGAACTCTACTTCCACTTCAGGGAGCATGGGTTCAGTCTCTGTTCGGGGAGTTAAGATCTCACGTGCCACATGATATGGCCAAAAAAATAAAAAATTGAAAAAAAAAATTTTTTTTTAATTAAAAGCATTTTTAAAAAGTATTAACAAAAGAACTTTTTCTTCTAGATAGCAAGACCTACTTAGCCATTTATTTTTTATAGGCTTATAGAAAAATATATAAAATACAGTATACAAAGGTTAAACAGAACAGAGTCCCAGAAACAGACCCATGTATGTGAAAACATATACAAGGAAAATGACAGAGATAGCATTACAGACCCTTAAGATATACAACTTGCAAATCTTATGTTTTTAATTAATTATTTAACTGACTGATTAATTTTTATATCATGCACATCTGTTCCAGATGAATTAAGGACTTAAATGAGAAAGCCACATGTAGAAGAAAATATAGACAGATACCTTTATGATTGCATGGAGAAAACTATTTATAAAATTAAGAATTTCTATTTATCAAGAGTGAATGAAGGGGCTTCCCTGGTGGTTCAGTGGTAAAGAATCTTGCCTACCAGTGTAGAAAACTCAAGTTCAATCCCTTGTCCAGTAACATCCCACATGGCACAGAGCAACTAAGCCTGTGCCACAACTTTTGAGCCTGTGCTCTAGAGCCTAGAAATGCAATCACTGAGGCCATGAGCCACAACTACTGAAGCCTGCACACCCTAGAGCCTGTGCTCCGCAAAGAGACGCCACCGCAGTGAGAAGTCTGAGCACTGCAACTGCAGGGCAGCTCCCAGTAGCCACATCTAGAGAAAGCACATACGTGCAGCAGCAAAGACAGCACAGCCAAAAGGGGAAAAGAAGAATGAATGAAGGAACAAGTCGCAAATCTTGGTAAAGATTTTACCATGTATGTAACTGACAAAGGATTAGTATGAGGACATGTAAAGAGTTCATAAGAATCAGTAAGAAAATGATCTCACCTTGCTCTCAGGGCCCCTGGAATGCAGTGCTGCCAGGGGGCTGAAACACTTTGGCAGAACTATAGGAATCTTTGTTTTGCTCCAGTTGGCCTATTGAGGACAGTGTATCCAAATGGAATCTCCTCCCAGAAAGGAAAGGAACTGTTTGATTAAAGGTGTGTATACTGCAGCAGCACACAAAAAACCACTGAAAACTTCTCAAAGTCCAGTAATAGGCAACAAGTCTATAAAGAAGTGCCCAGGACATCCACTCAGTGAGCTAATATGGAACCTTCATATATTATAATTAACAAAGAACATACATATAATATTAAACAGCACAACTAAAAATTATATTGATTCTGTATAAAAGTTATATATAGAAAAATTGTGATTGTGAGAAAAGGGTTGTGGGGGAAAATTATGTAGTAAAAGGAATTTTAGTGGTGTGTTCGGTTGGGAGGAATTGGTAAGAGGTCTTGTTTTTTAAAATGTCTTGTAAGTACAATTTGTGAAACACAAAAATGAGAAACAGGCAACTTGGTAGAAAAATAGACAGAAATCAAACAATCCAAAAGTAAAACTAACAAGTATTTCACAGAGGGGGAAAACATGCATGGCTATTCCCAACCTCATTATTAAGCAGGAAAATGCAAATTAAAATCTGCAATGAGCCATCTTTTTATACCCAGCAATTGAGAGAAATTACAGCCTAGAGGACAGTGTCTAGTATTTGGTGAATAATGTGCACCAGCGGTGTTATATATATCCTGCTCTTAGAGTGCAAACTGTTTTAACCACCTTTGAGAATGATTTGGCATTACCTAGTAAAGTTGAACATTACATGTAACCCCTAAGCCTACCAATATTTACCTTAGAGAAACCTTCATGTGCGCACATACATACTCTTACATCTATATAAGAATGTTTACAGAAGTACTGTTGTTGAGAGCAAAACCCCAGAACAACCCAAGTGTCCCATCAGTGGTACAAAGGACAAAGGCACTCTGGTATATTCATACACAGGCATTCTAGATTTCAGTGACCTTAATGAATTATAGCCACATGCATCAGAATCTCAAAATCAGCCAGCGTTTGAGGGAGCGAGCAGCAGCAGGGGGAAGCAAGTCACAGAAGAATGTGGACGTGTGATTCCATTTTTATAACGGTAGAACTGCAAAAGTACATAATTTATGTTTTGGAAATACAGAAGTCCACAGTAAATCTATTTTAAAAAGTGAAGGAGTGATAAACACAATTCCGAATAGCCTCTGAGGGAGGAAGAGAATAAAGTGGTGGAGGAAGCATGCAGTGGACTTCAAAGGATTGGTGATGTTTAATGGATGATAGTGGTTTGTTTTAATTATATAATATTAAATACACAAATAGTTATGCAGATACTCTCTTCATAATAAACACATGTTATAAAGCAACTTGTCAGGAACATCTTTTGCCGATCTTTTCAAAAAGTTTCCACCTGTTTTCTTTGTTTACAAAGTTCGATATTGTTCTTTTCTTACAATTTTAATGATAATTTAAAAGAATTGGTCAGCTTGTTCCTCAAGAGTTTTCACACTTTCCTTGCCTTACAGATTTCCCATCAGACATCGCAAACAAATCTCTCTCTGAGAGCTCTGCCGCAGTGCTCTGGAAGGCCAGAGGCAGGAGGAGAAGAGCCTCCCACCCGACTGCCGAGTCCTCGAGCGAGCAGGGAGCTAGTGAGGCTGACATCGACAGCGACAGTGGGTACTGCAGCCCCAAACACAGCAACAGCCAGCAGCCTGCTGCGGGGGCGTTGAGAAATCCCGATCCTGGCTCCGTCAGCGTACGTGACGTTCCTTTATCTTCTCGTCTGTCAACTGTCAGTGTTATCTTTGTGTCTTTGCCTAAAGCTGAGGTATCTATTTTCATTAATAGTTCCTATAATACGATGGTTAAAGATGTGTTTTGTATGTTTTACTATTAATATAAAAATACTCATTTATGGAGAAGTATTTTTTCTAAGATTATAATAAGTGTACTTCACAGTAGATGGAATTGTGAGATGTTTTGCAAGGAATATGGTGTTTACTTTTAAGCAGAAAATAATTGTCTTTTTTTTGTTTCTATTTTTAGCATGTGGACTCATCTATATGTGCAGGTACTTATTTTCTGCATAGTGTTTTTGCTCTGTTTTCTTCTCTGTCCATGTCACAGTTCTACTTTAAGCATGAAGCTTGCTGATGCTGCAAAAAAATTAGAAGTCTTCCAAAGAAATGCAGGTTAATTTGAAAATACGGTTTTGTTAATGAAATTGGGAGAATGTCAGCTGGAGGTATTCTGCAAATTGACACTTAACATTACCAAGAACTGGAATGCCACTTAAAGTTTATGGAAATTTTCCAGTACATTTAGAATGACTGAGTTTCAACACATGATGTTAGGGGGCACTTTAGGTTTTGGCATCTTTATAATTAAATTATATTTTAAAATCTCATTTATTATAGGTGGTGTAAATTGGTCTAATGTAACTTGCCAGGCAACTCAGAAAAAACCTTGGATGGAAAAAAATCAGACATTTTCTAGAGGTGGAAGGCAGACTGAACAAAGAAATAATTCACAGGTAATTTGGATTAGGTTGGAGAAATAGGTGTGAGATGAATTATTATAAATTATGGCTTTGAAGAGCAGTGTCCTTAATTTTTGGCAGTGCATATTGTGTTTAACACGGTAATCTATAACTTTGAGGTAGTTTAACGAATAAAACTATTATTTAAATAATGAAACAAAATGGCAAGATGTTGAATAGGTGGGATATATATTGTACCATTTTCTACTTTTCTCTAAGAAACGTATTTGGATATTTTATAACTTAAAGAATACAGTCCTGCTTCATCTTCTGTGACTTTTTCCTATCTATATAAAAAAAACATAAAGCATATTAATGCCTTAAATATTGATTTTTTTGACCTTCAGGACTACAGCCTTGTCCGTGTCTTTCCTTGACTAGAAACACCACAAACCGTGCTTGGTGCGGTATCGCAGTGATGGCCACCTTGTGCTGTGATGTGGCCATACTGGGTAGCTTCCTGGGCTTGGGGAGCAAGATTTAGCTGCAGCACAGCCGAGCAAGTTATATACTGCCACAGACTTCCAGTAACTACCTTCCTGTGTTGGTTGTCTATGAAATCAGGGAGGCATTGGTTGGTCAGTATTTTTCCTTTATTAATTTTTAGATAGCATGCCTGGATTTCTAAAATCTTGTTAATGGGAATTAGTTACCATGTGAGTAGATCTAAATGAACTGAAATAGAAGTAAGTTAATAATGGATTGAATAAACCAAATACTTGCCTGTGCCTTGCCTCCCTGAAGTGAAGTTCCCTAGCATTAATTTTGCTGTCAGGAAAGCAAGTAGAATAGTGCCTCTTCCCTACGGTTATTGGAAAAATGAGTCATTATTGTTTGTGGCAGGCTTGTGAAGCAGTCTAGCTTTATTTGATCAAAAACAAAAGAGCTGAGACAAGAATTGTTTATATAGATTAGATAAACAAAATCTGTGGAATGTTTGGTCAAGTATCAAAATTTTATCTTGGAATTGTAACTGCTAGTCCTGCCAAGCTTGCAGTCTCAGCATTGGTACTTTTGATGTCAGTAGTCCTCTAGAGAGTAAATAATACTGATACAGAAAAATATTTTATCTCTGCCTCAAAGCTAAGGAGAATGGTGAAAAAACACAGAACAGAAGATTATGGAAATGCATAAACATTTGTTTGTTTTGTATCTGTTCATTCCAAAAGAACTGGAGCCAGGTGTTGAACAATGTGTTTTCTTTTCTACTTCTGAGGCTTTGTTGTACTTTTCTTAAGTGTGCAGTTGTTTGATTTTTTGATAGGGATAATCTTTTATTTTTAAGTCAAAATATTTTCCCTTTGCAATTTCTGATCGTTTTAAGGCTTAAAAAAAGCGTTTTAGAAATGTAGTAAATATTCATTTTACTTTCTGCTACTTTTTTACAGTAATGTTTTCAAAACTTTTTTATCCAAGGTTTTTTTTTGAAGCGTGATACAACATAATGGTGTCAATTTTCACAGTAGTTAACCAGTTGTCTTAATGTTGTAATATATTAATTTTTTTCTGATTTACTCTTTTAGTCATCTGCTAATTTATTATGTTTTAGGTTCTGTTTTTGACCTTTTTTCCCACTTATTAGATTTGTACACCTGTACAGTGTGGTTTTAATTACTGAACAATGACATGATTTTTTAATACTTTTACCAGCATCTTAACATTTGAAACAGCAGGTTTTTTTCTATACTCTGATATAACCTTAATTGTAAATGATAGAGTCTAAAAATTTAAGTTTTATTTTTTGAATAAAATAAAAATGGTTTTATTTTGTGAATAGGTTGAAAAAATATATGAAAAAGGTTATACAACAAACAATCTCGTTTGCATCCTGCCTCCACATGTGTTCTCCTCTTACCTCTACCTGTGTATTTGCCCAGAGTTTCTTCATGTCATTATAAGTAAATATATAAGTATGTATCTCATGTTTTATTCATTCTGTTCTGTGCTCTGTTCACATCTCTTAACAATGTATCATAGAGATATTGCTGTATTATTTACTCAGAGGGTTTTTGCACTTTTTTAAGCAACTCCTAATGTTGTTGGTGGAGAAGACAATGGCACCCCACTCCAGTACTCTTGCGTGGAAAATCCCATGGATGGAGGAGCCTGGTAGGCTGCAGTCCATGGGGTTGCTATGAATAGGACATGACTGAGCGACTTCCCTTTCACTTCTCACTTTCACGCATTGGAGAAGGAATGGCAACCCTCTCCAGTGTTCTTGCCTGGAGAATCCCAGGGACAGGGGAGCCTGGTGGGCTGCCGTTTGTGGGATCACACAGGATCGGGCATGACTGAAGTGACTTAGCAGCAGTGTTGTTGGGGCTTCCCTTGTAGCTCAGTTGGGAAGGAATCTGCTTGCAATCCAGGAGACCTGGGTTCAATTCCTGGGTCGGGAAGGTACCCTGGAGAAGGAAATGGCAACCCACTCCAGTATTCTTGCCTGGAAAATCTCATGCATGGACAGAGGAGCCTGGCTGGCTACAGTCCATGGGATCACAAGAGTCGGACACGACTTCCAACTAAACCACCACCACCACCTAATGTTGATGCATCCTTGTTTTTTTCTGGAGTCCTGTTGATGGACACTTTGTTTATAAATTATTGCTATTGTGGACACAGTGTTATTTTGAAATCTGTGTGTAGAGCAGTAGAATATATTCCTGGATAAGTATTGCTGAGTGAAAAGGTGAAGTCACCTCTGTTACTTAGTAAATATCACCAGATTGTGCCATTTTGCATTCTTAACAATAATGTGGAGGGTGCTTATTTCCATAGAGCCTCAGAAATCATGTGTTTTCAATATTTTGGATTTGTGCCAGGTTAGGAGAAATAGTGTATTCATGTAATTGAGCATCTTTCCATATGTTTAAGGACCATTTGTACTCTTACGTGAACTTGTTATGTTCTTTGCCCATTTATTGTGCTTTGACCTTTTTCTCTGTTTTTGTACATTTTAAAATCAATTTGATCAAGCTCTTAACACATTTAAAGAAATTTTAAGAGCCTTTAGTCTGTTATACAAGTTGCAAATATTTTACTAGATTTGCATTTTTATTTTTGACTTTGCTTAATAATTGCCATGCACAAGTTTGTTTTAAATACTGTTAAGAAGTTGATTTTTTATAAAGAAATTTATCTGATTTCCTCCAGTGTGTTTATGCTCTTGTATTTTTTACATTTAAATCTTTATTCCATTTAGAGTTTGTCTTAGTGGATGTTGTGAGAAATGGGTCTTATTTTGTATTTTTCATGTGGCTACCCAAGTCTCCCACCACTGTGAATTGACAAGTCCATTACTTCATCTGTTTGAGATAGCCACCTTTATCACCTATTAAATTTCCATATATTTTGAAATCTTGTTTCTGGATTTCCTATTTTGTTGTTTGGTGGTTAAATTAATCTATCAACTTGAGAATGGACATCCTTTATGATGTGGCATCTTTCTAGAAAAAAAAATATGTCATTCTCTTTTTGAGTCACCTTTTGTGTTCTTTAGAAGTATAGTTTTCTGAAAACAAATTTGTAATATTCCTCATATGTTAATTCTTAGTGTTTTTCTTTTTGCTATGTAAATGGAGTATGAAAACTTAAATCTTTATATATTAATTTTATGCTAGTCATTTAAGAATCTTAATATGTATTTGTTGTTTCTGCTTTGTTCGGTTCTGTATGCCCAGTCTCTATTAACAAAACTCTTTGAGAAGAACTTAAAAAAACAAAGGTTCATTCCAGGAGGTAATTGAAATACTTGCATATTTGATCCCCATGAACTTTGTTGGAACCATTAGTTGGGGATTTTAATTTAATCCTCAAACTTTGTCTCCAAGAATTAAGTTGCATTTATTTTTTAAAAGAATTATTTTTGTGATTGTAACAACATTAATGCATATATATTAACTGTGGTTTACAAGAAGGCTAACATTTTGATGTAATTGTAATGCTGTTTGGAAGGCAGATTTACATTTACTTTTTTGTGATAGTGACTGTACAAAGGAATGAAGATTTCTACTCAAGAATTACTCTCTTGCTTCCTATTCATCCCTGTGTTGGGGCTTGATTGTTAGTACTCATTTCAGTGTGAGTAATTTCTGTGAATTAAGTCGTTTCTTTGGTACCTGGACATTGTAAATTGTGTTTGTTTTGCCATCCTTTGTGTGAGCTCCTTTTCATGAACCAATTTAAAAAATACTGTATTATGAAAATTTTTAAACAGACATTAAAGTTGAAATAATTTTATTGAGAACATTCCTTGCTAGATTCTATCAAAGATTTTTCTAAAATTGGCTTCATCACATGGTGTATTTTTCTGTCTGTCTCTCTCTCCATGTTCATGAGTCTATTTTAAGATGAAGTAAATATTTAAAACCAAGAATCTGTTGGGTACCTGGAAAATTATCTAGTTTCTTAACAGGTACTTATAGGTTATAGGAAGTAGCCCAGTTTTCACAATAGATCCTCTAAGGAGGAATTACATTTACTGTATGGACTGTGCTGTAGCTTATAGTTCTGCCATACAACCTACTTCCCAAGAGAGTGTAAAAATTCTGTTTCTTATCAGCAAGTCTTTTTAGACCTGTTGATTAGCATGAGAATTGCCAGGCGCTTCCAGGGCTTTGTGTGCGTATTTTTTATTTCATATCCAAAGCCTATTTACCAGCACCTGCCGTCCAGGTCCACTTCAAGTTCTGTTTATTATTAGGATTCTTGAGTAACTGGTAAAGAAGACTGTACTTTTCACATCTTCTCTAAAGTGTCCTGGTTAAGAAGGGCATTTCATATAAGTTGCATTGGGTACTTAAGAGAGGGAACTTAATTGCCTTAAGATAATGCATTTTCTTACTCTTAAGTTCTCTGTATGACAGTTGAACATTTTGTAGATGTATTAATAGGATAATAATTTGTGTGACCGAAATTTTTATCCTCAAATCTGTTTTCTTATAAACAAGGTTTAAAATTTTTAATATTTCTTAGGATTAAAAAATATGAAAGCTGCAGATACTAATAGATCTAAAATAGTTTTTTATAAAAAGGTAATGTGTAATTTCTCTCAGTGGTAACATCGTTCAAAACTATAGTGCAATGTCACAAGCCCGATATTGACATCAATGTAGTAAGGATTCAAAACAGATGCATTACTATAGGGATCCCTTGTGTCACTCTTTTATAGCCAGACTCCCTTCCTTTCCTCACCAGCTTCTTCTTAAACTGTAGAATCCACTAATCTGTTTCCCCATTTTATGATTGTGTCATTTCCAGAATGTTGTATACATAAACTGATATAGTCTTTTTAGGATTGACTTTTTTTACTAGTGTGGTTTTCTGGAGATTCCTACAGATTGTTAGTTGTATCAGTAGTTTGTTTTTATGATTGCCTACTGTTTTATAGGGTGAATATACCACAGTGAGTTTATGCTCTCAATGAAGGACATCTGGGATGTTTCTTGGTTTTGGTATTACAAATAAAGCCAATATAAGTGTTCATGCATGGGGGGAGTAACATTCACTAATTATCACATTTTTGTGTTTTCATTATATTTACCTCATTTGTCAAAGTTTTACCCTTTTATAACAAATTATGCACTTTATGAAAATTTGTTGAGTTGTATACTTTTGGGTACATTTCTGTATGTTATACTTCAGTAAAACATTTTACTTAAAAATAATACATTTTTCTCCTCCTCTGGGGTTTATTTAGGTTGGATTCAGATGCCGAGGACATAGTACTTCCTCAGAAAGAAGACAGAATTTGCAAAAGAGACAAGATAATAAGCAGTTAAATCCCAGTCAGTCTCACCGAGGCGACCCAAATTCTGAGTCTTTGTATTTTGAGGTATTTACTTCAAACTGTAAATTGTTATAGCAAATGTTCCCATTAAGAAATTAATTTTTATTACATTATGATAAGTACTTTTTATGTCTTAATCCATCACTGCTGTTAGATTGTAAGTTACCTAGAAGTATTGACTCACATTTTTTCTTGGTTATATATAGTTAGCCTAAACATTAGCTTTATTAATGTTTGTTTTTATAAATTTTTTCATGAATATTCATCATTTTGAAGTAACATGCAGAGATAGAACTTAATTTTATATGAATTTCACCTAATATGAATCTTCTCAACTTTAATTATCAGTGTGGGGTCTCTTTTGTTAAGGCTTTCAAATTTGAAAATAGTTAAATCTGGTTTATTAGTCAGAGGAGTCTTGAGAAGGAAGATAAAAGGCTATTTTACTTTCTCTGATAGGCAGACAGTTTATATTCTGATGGCAGTGTTTTTATTACTTACTCATCTAACTGGCACTCATTGGAGGCCTGTTATCTATTTAGTAAGGTGCTCTGCATGACACATTAAAATGAATGAACACACCACCCTTAGGGAGATTACTGTATAAAGAGGAATGTAGGCATGCACACACCTGGTAATTCTTAGGTGTGGTTAGAGTTGAAAGGAGTAGTAAGTTTTAGGTTTGAGGCAGGATAGGGTTCACATTTGGAATAGGTTTTAAAGAATGAGTAGAGTTTGTGTCAAGATGGTGAACAACATCCCAGGTAACTCATTTGAATAACTCATTTTTGTTAACATAGTTTCTATAAAATGGCTTAATAGTTGGGTTTTAAATATACTGGAGGCCAGAGGCTAGAGATGAATAATATGTTACATAAGCTTGATAATTGCCCTAAAGGACTTGAGAGTGCATCTGAAGTATTATATCAAGAACGGTACCTGTGGCAGATTTCTTATTTACCCTTAATCATGATTCATTCCATAGTTATATTTAAAGATATTAGATATAATTTTCAGTGTAAAGGAGGATATTGGTTAAGAAATTACTCTGAATAGGGAATTTATTTTTATTTTTTAACTTTTAATCTTATTGCTAGGTATATGTCGCAGTGGGACAGGGAATATATTAATGAAATTCACATTAAGCCATTTCTTTAAAATCCAAATTACGTGAAATGTGATAAAATCCTTTTTGAATTTCTTTTTATTTACCTGACTACCTTGGGTAGAATTATTAATAAAAATGGAGTTGTAGATACAAAAATCCAAAGGATGGATGTGTGGATATGTCCTCATCCTTGAATAATTAAATTAGCTTTGTGTTAGCCTGTGAGAAATGAGACTTCCTTTTTAAGACTGACTTAAAATAGTTCAATACTGAGTTAATTACTTGAGTTGATTACTTCCCCATTTCTCATTACTCTCAAGCATTATAAAAGGTTGTTCTTAAGAATTTATTGCTTTGGACTATGTTTTACTTAAAATGTGGAACTATTTCAGGATGAAGATGGATTTCGAGAACTAAGTGAGAATGGAAATGCTAAAGATGAAAATATGCAACAGAAACTTCCTTCAAAAGTAGTAAGTGACTTTTAAAAATGATAAGTAAAATGTATGAATGTCTTTTGAGCCATGATTGTGTTGGAAAGAAATACTACAGGGGGAAGTATAAAGACTTGGGCAGATGGTATTGAAGAAACACCATATTTAGGACTGATTTAGTATTTTCAGCATAGCCAGAACAGACACTGTCCTTTGAAGTCCATAGTTCCATTTCAGAGAAGTAAATACCATTTATTAAATGACATCATGCAACGTACAGTCCATGCTAAAATTTCCCCAGTTGTTACAAAACTTTACTTTGAAATTCTTTTGTTTTTAGTACAGAATCCAGATGGTTATATTACCTACTGCAGTATGCTGTTTTGTCACTGTCATTTTCCAGTCTCCCAGTCTAAAATGGTCCTACCACCTCACTGTTCTTTATGACATTGAATCTTTTGAACAGTCTAGCCCAGTTATACTTGAGAACTTCTCACATTCTAGATTGTTTTTTCTTATGATTAGACTTTTATGGACTCAATAAAAAATGTTTTTCTCTGGTTATCATAGTTGGATGATTTACCAGAAAACTCACCAATCAATATAGTTCAGACTCCAATTCCCATTACAACCTCAGTTCCTAAACGTGCAAAAAGTCAAAAGAAGAAAGCTTTAGCAGCAGCCCTTGCCACCGCTCAAGAATATTCAGAAATAAGTATGGAGCAAAAAAAACTACAGGTATGTAATCATTTTTATGAATAAATATGGTAGTTTATTTGGTAGGTTTAAGGGAGAGGGTGGACGGAAGAGTGACAAATATCTTAAAATCTTAATATCTTAATATCAAATATCTTAAATTGCCACTTTTTTTTAATCTTATCACATGGCTTGCAGGATCTTAGCTTCCTGACCAGGAATTGAACCCACACCCTCCACAGTGAAAGCATGGAGTCCAGACTGCTGGAATGCCAGGGAATTCCCTTAAATTGTCACATTTTCATACTATAACAAAAATGTTTTCATATTTATCTTGCAGGAAGCTTTATCAAAGGCAGCTGGAAAAAAGAATAAAACACCTGTGCAGCTAGATTTGGGAGATATGTTAGCAGCTCTGGAAAAGCAACAGCAAGCCATGAAAGCACGGCAAATTACTAATACCAGACCTCTGTCATATACAGGTAATATCATTCATCTGAGCAGTATGTTATTTGACTTTGGTAATATATTTTGGATATTGTTAATCTAAATTATATATACCTAAAAAAAAATCCAGAGCCTAATTACTCAGCAGCTCCTCTCCTGCCGCACTATTACCTACCTTTCATTCACCCTAACCCCCAGTCTATCTTTAAAGGAGTGATCCTCTTCAAATATAAGTTCAAAACTCTCCAGTAACTCCTCGTTTCACTTGGAGGGAAGCCGGAGTTCTAAGTCATATCTCAGCTGACCCTCTTACCTTTTGCCCTTCCTCACCATTCTCCCTTGGCACACTCTGCTTTAGCCACTTAGCCCTTTGCTCTTCCACAGACACTTCTGATGTGCTCCTAGCTCAGTTCTTTAGGCTTGCACTTTACCTGGAACGCTCTTCCCTCAGGCCCTCTGGAGCTCTGTTCAGATTTGTCATATCATTAACCAACTTTGAAGGTAGCAGTAAGGACCACAAGTAATTTGGCTCTATAACTGTTAAAGTATCCAATTTAAAACCACATGGCAAACCTAGGAGTTTTGATCAAGTTTTGTGTGTATGTGAGAGAAAGAGAGTAGGATTCCGAGGGAGAAAATGATCTCACTTTCTCCTGAAACAGTGTATTTTAACAAACCTCATCAGAGTGAGGCTGAGCAGCTTTGAAGTGCTCCCTTATTTGCTTTCGTCTTTGTTTTAGAGGATGAGAAATAAGATAAAGGAAAGGGAAAGGCACCAATAAAAAGCACTGATGTTGAGAGGCAGAATTGAATTTTCTGTTTCTTTTGTTCTTATATAAAGGATCTACTATTTTTAAACAAAAAGATAAGTAACAGTTTATAGCTTTAATTGTGTGTGCAAAATGTTTAAACCTATAGTTAATTACCCATCCAGTATGAACCTTAGCTTAGAGTAACTGTTAATGAAAATAATATTGCGTACATCCCAGGCTTTAGAGTTACATGCTGTTGAGATAAGGAGAGTGGTGGTAACATCTTACTAAGAGCAAAGGAGCCTGGGAAATGGAACTGAGAATTAGCAGTGTTCGGGGTCAGTGTGGTCTAGGGCTTGCATGGGGGGGCTTTGGATTTGAACTATCTCCTAGATCCTGTTCTTCCATGTATTTCCTTGGCAAGTTATTTAATCTTCCTGTGCTTCAACTTCCTCTTATTAAAATAGAGATAATACAGTACCTGTTTCAGGATTGTTTTGAGGGAGTAAATGGGATGATACATGTAAAGTGCTCAGTAACTTGTAACTAATTATTTAGGGGAAAAGACCATTAGTCTGTGATACTTCAAGTGGCTTATTATCACTTTGATTCATTTAACACATGTTACTATATACAAATGTAATTATCTACATGCAAAGCATGGTGTCAGGAACTGTGGAATTACAGATATGATTAAGATATGTCTGTGGTCAAGAAGATTATAGTGTAGTCAGAAAGACATAAACACAAAGCTCATAAAAAGCAGTGCTTTGGGAAAGGTGCCAGCAAAGTTTAATGAACTTATAGAAGAAAGAGTGATTTATGTCAACAGGACCATATGGGGAGGATGTTACAAATGACTTCATATGTGATTTGAACTGGACTTTGAAGGGAGAGTAAAGTTCTTGACAGGTAAAAATGAGATTAACCTCTAACCTGTCACTGTGTTTAAATGGGTAAGGGTTGATTACAAAGATATCAGCTTTCTTGGGAAGTCCAAAAGAGGGATGGGACAATGGCAAAGATGTAAAAGGATTTTGAGAAAGTTAATAGGATTTTTAATTGATGGAATGTGGAAACAAGTCAAAGATGACTCCAGACTCTCCGACTTAGAGCATTGTGTTGGTGGTAAGGGATATGATGATTCCAAATAGACTAAGAATCATGGAAGAATAATTTTCTTGGGAAGAACAGACTCTAGCCCTGTTGTATTTGAAATGTAAGTTAGGGAGATCTTGGTGGTTCCTATTTAACATAGTTAGGTATGAAGTTCAGGTTAGAAGTCAGTAAATTTCAAATAGGGATGATTGTTGTAATTGGAAATATGTAAGATTGTCAGGGGAAAGAAAAATTAGGATAAAAGATGTAGAACGCTCAGACTTAAAACGCGGAAGGAAAAAGAACCAGAAAAACAGGTTTGAGAAAAAGTAAGAAAAATAGAATGGAATGTAACAGAAGATGAGGATAGACTTTTCAGAAAGAGGAAGGATATGGTCTTTGGTAATAAATGCTAAAAAGAAAAAAACTAGAGTAGAGTAAAGATTCAGAATTAGATTTGGCGATTGTAAAATTATATGTGATTTTGGCAATAGCAGTTTCAAGAAAGTGGGTAAGGCAGGGGCCAGATTATAATGATTTGAAAAGTAATGGGAAAGCTGACTATTTGGAAGTTACAGAAAGAGAGAGGGAGTGGTGGTGCCTTAGAAGCCAGTCAGGGGAGAGGTTTTGTTGGTTTGCCTGCTGTTTTTCATCCTTTCATGTAGAGAAGATTTTAACTTCTTTTGGGGAGTTAGGGAAGTACTTGAAAGATTAAAGGGGAAAGGGATAGAGCAAAATCCTTGAGGAATTTAATCCTGAGATGGGATTGCTAGCAGAGGTGGTTGGTGGGCCTTGGGTGGGAGTTAGGATGCCTGCTGCCTCCTGTCAGGTGGCTTAAAAGCTTAATATTGGAAAGCATCTGCTCAGCTAAGTAACAGGAAAGCTTTTCTGCTAGAGTGAGAAGATTGAGATGATTAATAGAGGCAAGGTTTACTGAAGGATGGGTGGTATGCACTGGAGAATGAGGGTAACGATCAGTCAGGCATAAATGAATTGCTTGAATAGTACTGAAGAATACAGCTGAGAGGGAAAATCATTTTTTACCGACAGGCTGAAATGAGGAGTGACAGAGTACTTACCTTATATAAGGGTCATTCTTAGATTCATTAGCAATAAGAAGAGGTACAGAGTTTTGAAATTTCAGAGGTAGAATGGTTCTTTGGAGCTGTATCTGAGGGACATTGCACTGCCGTATACTGCTTCTGCTATTATGATGTCAGTTTTCCACAAGAAAAGGATGTTCTTGTTCTTAGACATTTATCATTAGAAATTTTTAAAGTATGCGGAGTTGGCCATAAGAGTAAAACTAATGTTCTTGTTTGCTTTTAGTGGTCACTGCAGCTTCTTTTCACACTAAAGACTCTACTAACAGAAAACCTTTAACCAAAAGTCAGCCCTGTTTGACATCCTTTAATTCTTTGGACATTACTTCCTCTAAAGCAAAAAAAGGAAAAGAAAAGGAAATTGCAAAACTAAAACGGCCCACAGCACTTAAAAAGGTAAATCAAAACTGGGGGATGTTTATTTTACAGGATAAATAAGTGTTTAAATCTGTTTTGCAAAGGTAGTTGTGGCATTTTAGCCAACAAATTATTGTGGTAAGTATGTTAAGCACGCGTCTTCATGATGACTAGTTAGTTAATTTGAGGTTAGCTTCTCAGCATCATGACTATTTTCCTATGTTGACCAAGGCCCTGTAGAATGAGTTCTGTCTGTAAGGTTAAAGCAAAAAAAATTAAACATTTAGGTATCCAAAAACTTTGGACCCTAGGAATCAGAAACCTGAGGTTCTAGTACCAACTTAGTACTTAGTGTTATGTTTTAGCAAACCTTTCTTACCTTCATCTTCTTCATCTTTAAGTTGGGGATAATATCTGCTCTCTTTAACTCAGTTTTATTAGGAGGAGCAGGATGAGATAATACATAACCAAATAAATCTAATGTAACTCTGTGGTCTGGTTTCCAAGCTTTATTTTACCCATTTTTGGGGAAGCCCTAGTTTGTCAACTAGGATTTAAAGAATGAAGCAGATCTGGTTTAATAGCTATAGTATTATATTGTCTTCCTTTATTTTGGATATAGTACTTCCTTCAGCTTCACTGCCTAAAATGACATTTACCTTTTTGCCAGTTTCCACGTAGCCAGACAAAATCCTCATGTCCATTTTTTAAGTGTATAATAATGAACATTTTAATTATTCAGTACATACTTAAAGAGTAATATAAGACTGGTAATGACTTTTAGGTTATCTTGAAAGAAAGAGAGGAAAAGAAGGGCCGTTTAACTGTGGACCACAGTGTTTTGGGATCTGAGGAACCAATAGAAATGCACTTAGATTTTATTGATGATTTGCCGCAAGAGATTGTTTCCCAGGAAGGTAAGATCACTCCTTTTCCCTTTCTTCTCATAAAGTGATCCAGAGTTTTTTAGTTGGTAGGTAACAGCACATCACTAGTTACTCTCCTAAATATGCTCCATGTTTTATCCAAGTTTTTTTTATGTTTGAGCATTTATTTAGAAGATGCTTCTGTAAGGAGATATTTACAGGAGGGGCAGGTGTTAATAGTAGGTCTGTGGCAGTTTTGGAGCTTAAATCCTGAATTTATTGTGAACTCTCATAATTATGATCTCACTAATGTCTCCTCTGTAACTGTCACAGTTCCTTTTATTTTGTCTTCTTTTATATCCAGAACACAGTTGGCTATCTCTTCTTTGCAGGCCTACAGTTGACCCTTGAACAATGCAGCTTTGAACTGCCCAGGTCCACTTGTACACAGATATTTTTCAGTTAACTTTGTGGAGTTAACACACATGCCACAAAGAGGAGAGAACTGTAAAGCTTACTGCAGTGCAGAGTCCAGTGGGTTGATAGGATTCAGCCCCATACAGCGGGTGGCCAGCGCATGATTCCAAATCGGACCTCAGGGAAACTGCAGATACCTTCAAAGATTTCTACTACTTTGAAATAAAGACTTTGGGAGAGACCTGACTAGGTCCCTTTTTCTACTGCTATTTATTCTTCAAGTTTCAGCAAAATATTTAAATCCGATTTACACGTAGATATAGTAGCAATGTTCCATTGGGTTTAGAAAAATAAATTTACTTCTAAGAATTGTTCCAATATATTCGGTTAGGGTTCCCCTTTACTCTCAATTAAACATCTTTCCCTTTGTATTTAGGTGTTATCTATTTATCCATTCATTCAACAAGTGTTTTTGAATACTTGCTGTGTGTACTCTAATAACTGGAGTGGGGGCGGGAAGCTCAGGAAATGTAATAAAGCTATGTAGTGGGCTGTCCCTTTTACAGTAAATTTACAATCTAGCAGAGAGATAAGGTATATATGTAATTTTGCAAATTAATGGACTGGACAAATACTAACTCATTTCCTGAGTTCATCTGTTTGAGAAGGAAGCAGTAACTAAAGGAAGCAATTGAGTCAAAAGATGACAAATGTGGCTACCTGAGCACAGGAGCAGAGACCAGATGAAAGAGAAACTTGTTGGAGAATCAGAAGTGGTGTGGAGGGAATGAGAGAGGTGGAATCATCATTGCTAGCAGCAATGGGAATTTTAAGGCAGTTTTTAAAAATTATTTCTAAGAAAGAGGTGGAAAAATAGAAATGTAGGAGACAGGTAATATGATCCGGAAAGAGGTGCAGAAGCAGATACGTCTCTTTGTTCTTCAGTTTAGATCCTCTAAGGGTACGTGTTTTAGGTTGCTTTGCCATCTCTCATCTTTTCTTTGAAGACGTATGGGCTGTGCTTGATTTTTTTCAGAGTATATTTTAAGACCTACTAGGAAGACTTGATATTTGTAGTATATGAGAAATGTTTGTGATAGGAACAATGCCCAACTTGGTAGCTTCTGGAGAATTTGAAAGTGATACAAAAGATACTGCCATTCTAAGTTGTTTTGATTGGTGTAGGACTTTTCAGCATTTGAAATTTCTGAATTCTTTCTCCTCACCCCACTTCTCCACAGATACTGGACTGAGCATGCCCAGTGATACGTCCCTGTCTCCAGCAAGTCAAAACTCTCCATACTGTATGACACCTGTGTCCCAAGGCTCTCCAGCTAGTTCTGGGATAGGCAGTCCAATGGCATCTTCAACAATAACCAAAATCCACAGCAAAAGATTTAGAGAGTAAGTTTTAGTCTCTGTTGAGGTTGAATAGTTTAAATATCTTGATTGTAGTTCTGAATTTAATATTGTTATTATTTCTTGGTGGGTTGAGCCAACAATACCAGAGATCTTTCAGTTCTTTCAGATTTAGTTTAACAGCTGGTTTTATTATATGGAAAACATTTTATCTGTGTTCATGTGAAAGTGATTTGACAATAAATATTCTTTTTATAGCAACTAGTGTTCATCCCTAGGAAATTTGGCCTCTTAGAGCTTATCTATAAAATGCCATACTATGACATCTTCCCTCTCCAGTACTTTTGCTTTTTGGTTCATATTGTCCTTCAAAAAAACTCTCTAATCAATGACAGTTCTAAGACCCTACTATATGAAGTCAACCTATTACCTAAAGCTATTTGTTTTTAAGTGTATATTTCTAAGTTTTAAAATGCCCATCTGTGAATAATCTTGAACTGATGGTCATTGCTCTGAAGGATTTGGGAATATGAACATTTGTATAGATGAATTAATTTTACCTTTATTCTTTCTTGCTTATGAAAGAATCCCAGGGTAAGAATAAAATGTGTGTGAATTCAAACCACATTGGTTTGTTCTGTTCCTTTTTTTTATATTACTGTTTTGAGCAAATACTTACCACCTAGATTTGAAAAGTTAATTAGTTAAGTGTCAAATAACAGATGTAGGGCAAGTAAATACTTGGAGAATAAAATTTTGCTCATGTATGAAATAAACAGTTTGGAAGAAAAGCAGAATAAAGAAAGTTGCATTTTTGGCATTTTATTCTTTAATTGCATTCCTTAATTTTGTGTACTTTATTAATCTTGTGTACAATCTGTCCGGTTGTATCTTCCGTTCTGAAGTAATGTCATACTCGTAAGTATTCAAGCATTTTTCACATAAACATTAGAAAAACCTCCAATATTATTTTTTTCACTAGAAAAAGGCAAGCCTGGATTTTCCCACCATATAATGTTATTTACAAGTGGCAATTTGCTGGCCCAGCGTTCTTAGATTAGAAATTATCCCAGTTCTCCTTGTTAAATACCTGCTTGTGGTAGAGATTATGGATGAGAACTAGCAAAGTAGAATATATAAGTAGTTTACTCTCATGGGGTCGCAAAGGGTCGGACACGACTAAGCGACTGAACTGAACTGAACTTACTTTAACTTGAATGACTTCCTTACCCTTGAAATTAAGTACTGCGATGGCTTTGCACTTCGCTTCCTGTTTTCTGGGCTGTGGCTCTCTCACAGAGAGCCCCATTCAGTTGTTTTGCCCATTATAAGGGCATGTGACTTTTACCTCGAAGATCTCTTTGGTTTTGACTTCAATTTAATTACTGAATTCATCTTCTCTAGTCATAGATTTTCAGAGTTAGAGGGACCATTGAGGCTGTCATCCCTATTTTTATGGTTCAGGAAGACTGTGATATATCCAAGTGTGGATGATGAGCTGTTGGTATTAGGCATTTGGTTAGCTTTTATGAAATCAATCTGTTTCCTATTAGAGGCATCCTTAGTATTCATTGGAATAAAATAACTTTATGCATTATCTCTTTACCAAAAAAATGCCTGTTTTTATCTAATAGAAGGCTAATATTTGATTCATACCCTTAGGAATTTAGTGATTAGGTGTTTAGATAGTACTTCCCTGAGGTCTGTCCTTTACGTTAAAGCCAATCTGTTCTAATTCACAAGAGCTGTTATTTTTCTCATTGACTGAAGTATGTAGGAGATTTTAAAGACTTGTTTTTTTTGTTTTTTTTTTTGTTTTTTAATGAAAACCTGTTCCTGGATGTATTTTTTTCCTACATAATTTTGTAATTACCTATTTTTGGTTTCCTTTTCAGGTATTGTAATCAGGTTCTTTGTAAAGAGATTGATGAATGTGTGACTCTTCTTCTTCAAGAGCTTGTCAGCTTCCAGGAACGCATCTATCAGAAGGACCCTGTGAGGGCAAAAGCACGGAGACGGCTGGTTATGGGGCTGAGAGAAGTTACCAAGCATATGAAGTTAAACAAGATCAAGTGTGTGATAATTTCTCCAAATTGTGAAAAGATCCAGTCCAAAGGTATGAGCATTTTACTTTTGAAGTGTCTTGATATTTCTGTAGTATAATTGTGGAATATGTGGTGACTTTTAAAAGTGGAAGCCATTTGTCTTCTTTAGGAGAGCTTAGGTATAAAACATAATATTGAATATGAGTAAAGAAAATGAAATATTTCACTTATTTCATTTTAATAAAATTGAGATCAGATTGTAAAGAAAATCCCCATTTATGAACCCCGGTGAAGGATTTAGGTTGAGCCAACCAAGTGTCCCCTTTGTTGTAAAAATTTTTTCAGTAGAATTTATTTACAGAGGTAAAGAAATGCACTCTTACAAGTTTACTACTTTAAAAATTTTCACATTACCCTTGATAGCTCTTTTCTCTTAAAAAGAATTAAGAAAAATATAAAAGTGTCTGCTTCTGTTTATGGTGGAGATTTGTCTCAGAAATCAGCAGTAACAGAGGCCTTTGGGTGAGCCAGCACACAAGTACTTTGTACCATGTCATGCACCCTTTTTTGTCCTTTTTGATGATTGGAGTAGACAGATGCATCAATAGCAGTAATAGGTATATTCTGCACAGGGGAGACATACTAGTAAAAACAGTCATTTATAATCGGTCTTCCTGCTTGTGATGGGGGGCTTACGTGAGCTGAGAGATCAGATAAAAGGCATCAGCTACTATTAACAATTATAATTAATTTAAAAAATGGAAAGTATTGATTATATTGAAATTTGATTCCTGTTGTGCTAATCCCTGTGGAGAAACAAAAATACTGGCATTACAGGAATATGGTATTTAACTGGGGAGAAAGAAAGTATGTACCTCTATCCATAGGTAGGAAAATGTGTAGAACAGCTAAGTGACCCCAAGCATTCATAGAATCCTTTGCTGCTGTGTCTTTTGCTTTAGCTCTAGGGTGCTGAAATAGCTTCATTTAGTAAATAACTAAAATAAAACCTATATGTCTCAGGTGGCCTGGATGAGGCTCTCTATAATGTTATAGCCATGGCACGGGAACAAGAAATTCCATTTGTGTTTGCCCTTGGAAGAAAAGCTCTAGGTCGCTGTGTGAACAAGCTGGTTCCTGTTAGTGTAGTGGGAATCTTCAACTACTTCGGCGCTGAGGTAAGACTAGACACAGCCCCTCGGTGCCCTTGGCCATCGTCCCCACAGTACGTTTTCCTTGGACACATGCCAGTGTTGTGTTTGAGAATTTGCAGAAGTGATATGGTGACTCTCCAGGAATGAGTGGAAAATTCTTGAGTATTACATTTCCTTTTTTAGTGTTGAAAACATTTGTGTAAGTTAATCCTATAGCATTTTGAAAAGATTTTAGCTCATATTTCTGCCTCAGTGGGTTTTTTTTTTTTTTCTGGGTTCAGCTATGTAGTACTTGATAATATATATAATTGCTGGGTAAAGATATCCAGTATTGTGTAATGTAAAATAATTTTCTTCAGTTTATATGTTGGGTTTATTGTATGCTATTAGGAGTCAAGTGAGAAAAGAACCCTTTAATTTGGAGAGGATTTTCCTTTAGAAAACCAAATTCCTAAACCTGTTGAGAGAACAGTTCTTCACCTGTGATTGTTGTCTTCCTCTCATAGTCTGCTAACAAAAACTTTGCCCATTGGAGCTGCTAAATGATAAAGTAAATGTTACTTATTTAGACTAATGCTTATTAACTGATAACATAAAATTGGTTTTTGTTTTGTTTTGTTTTAATATGTGGGGTTCTTTTTAGTGTATCATTTGACTTTATTGTGATTTTTTACATTGACGTGTTTTCAGTTATATTTGTTTTAAATTGTATACAATCTTGGAGAAGGAAATGGCAACCCACTCCAGTGTTCTTGCCTGGAAAAGTCCATGGACAGAGGAGCCTGGCAGGCTGCAGTCCATGGGGTTACATGACTGAGCATGTGTGCACGAGGGTGGAGGGAAATGGGTTGGTAGCAGTAAAGTGGGAGAACTAAAATAAATAAATAAATAAATTGTATACAATCTGGTGCATAAAATAAGACTTTTATATGAAGTTGAAGCTAAAGTATTTTGTGACACTGCTGATGAACAGTTTTCCCTCTTCTCAGCCATACTGTTTGTGTATATTTAAGTGTCTGTCTTTCCTTTCCAGTCCCCATATTTGTATAGTCCCATCCCCCTATTTATTCGGTTTCTCTCCCACTTCCCATTAAATTTTCTGTGTACCCACCTACTCTCTAGAGTCATGTAATTAACATTTGTGCTTGCCACAGGAGCCCGTGCTTTTCTCAGTTACAGTCAGCGCTGCCTTGCTGTAGTTCGTGTGTTCCTTCGTGTAACTGAATTCCTTGAGGGCAGGCCCCTTGTCTTTGTGTCTGACAACCTTTCATATTACTTGGGAACGAACAGGTGATAAACGTTTAATAAATTGTGTGGTAGATGTATATCTCCCTGCTGTGTTAAACTACATCTGAGGATTTGGATGATAAATAGCTCTATGGTAAAGACACATAGGCTCAGTGGTAAAGAATCAGTCTGCAGTGCTAGAGGGGCAGGTTCAACCCCTGGGTCGCGAGCATTCCCTGGAGAAGGAAATGGCAACCTTCTCCAGTATTCTTGCCTGGGAAATCCCATGGACAGAGAGTCCAGCAGACTACAGTCCCCAAGGTCGCAAAACAGTCAGACACAACCTAGTGACTATAATGTTATAGCCATGGCACGGGAACAAGAAATTCCATTTGTGTTTGCCTTTGGAAGAAAAGCTCTAGGTCGCTGTGTGAACATGCTGGTTCCTGTTAGTGTAGTGGGAATCTTCAGCTACTTCGGGTGCAACAACAAATGACACATAATAAAAATGTATCGCTTCTCGGCCTTTTGGCTAAGATCAAGTGCAAAAATGTAGTCCTTTTTTGTTCGCTGTTCAAGTTTGTGGACTAGGATCAAGATCAGGAAAAGTAGACATGTTTTTTTTTAAACTGTATTGACTTCTTACTGAATTAGATGTATTAAGTTATTTGAATGCTTTTATATTATAAAATGTTTGCCAGTTTTATTTGTCCATTGCTTTACTTGCCTTTCCCATTGTGAGGTAGGTGGGTTACTGTTTACCAAACACCTTCAAAGAATGGAGGTCAAGGAAATACTGATACATTGTCAAGTTTGTCTACTGCAGTAAATATGGTAGCCCATCTAAGTTAAATTTACCATCTAGTAAGACTAACCTTTGAATTAAGCTGTTGGTCTTTACACTGATACTAGAGACTTTTATTCCCTAACAGCTTCTCTCTTCAATTGTGTTTTCTTTTCTATCATTTTACTTCCAACAGTTTCTGTGTTTTATTGTATTATAAAACCAATGTAAATCTCAAAATTACGTACCATATGCCTGTTTTCTTTGTTGGCCTCACTTAAGTGCATGATTTGTTGAATATTGCAAAGAAATATTTATGACATGTTACATGTTTTTAATAGAGTCCATCCTCCTTCCCGTTTAAAATTAAGTAAATCCTGAATATATTTTTGATACTACTGTCACCTACCTCTCTTCAAAAATCAAAACAATTAGCAACAGTGTTTACTGTACCTGCTGCTAAAGAAGCATTTAAGCTGCAGCTGGTTAAAGCATGCTACTTATGTTTTTTCTTCTCAGGTTTAATTTAGAGAGATGTGTTTTTCCATAACATTATGGTACTTTTTTTTAAACCATGCTTTCATGTTATGGTTTATACTTAAATGACAGTGCTTTATTTAGAAAAAAATAGTTGTGTTGTACTTTTCCCCCATTTTCTGAAAACATATTTTATGTACATAATTGAACATATTCTTACAGGTAGCCAGATTGTATCTACCATCTGAAATTTTTTACTTAATGTGTGGGTATATATTTTGCATTATGATACTCAATCAAGACATTAAAGAGGAATAGAATGTTGTTAAATTGTGATGTAAAAACCAGTAAAAGGACTTTTCTATAGCTCAGATGGTAAAGAATCTGCCTGCAATGCAGGAGACCCAGGTTCAATCACTGAATCAGGAAGATCCCCTGGAAGAGGCCATGGCAACCCACTCCAGTATTCTTGCCTGAAGAATCCCATGGACAGGGGAGCCTGGTGGGATATAGTCCCTGGGGTCACAAAGAGTCAGACACAACTGAGTGACTAACACACACACACACACACACACACACACACGCACAAGAACCACTGAGTTGTTCTTTGATTATCTTTTTGTGACTGTGGAAACTTCAGTTTGCTTTAGATATTGTTATACCGCCTAGTTACTGAGGTACAATTGTAATGCTATATGAATTTTACCGTTTTACTAACACATGTGTGCTCCATTACTTACCATTTCACTGGGATTGATAATTCTATTCATGTTCATTCTGTTTTGCTGATGGAAGAACATCTAGTTAACTCTATATTGTATTTCTAGGTTCTTTATTCAGTTTTTATAATTTGCCTTTCATTGTTTTCAAGGCCCAGCTAGCCAAACACTAGCTAGCCAATCACTTGACTTGTTTGTTTTTTTTTTTAAAGCATTCTTTCACCAAACAAACATTATAGGGAGCTTTTAATTCGTATGGAGACTGCCATCTCCTTCTACATTCTTGAACATCACCCTGCATACACCCATTCTCTTATATTCAAACCCATATAAGATTCTTCACTGCTCCCCAAACAAGCCTTGAACTTTATTAAAGTCTGTGCCTTTGTTTATGGTTTTGCATGCTTGGCTAAAAATGCACTGTCTCCACCCCTGAATGCTGTGCCAGATTTTCAAGGCATATATCAGGTGTCACATTGCTTTATGAACTCTTCACTGATACCTAGCAGCTAGATGTTTCCTCCAGAAGCTAAACACTTTGTATATCTCTGGGTATTTAAGGTATTGTGCGTTATTGTCTCCTGTCCTCTCCTTTCAGCCATATAGAAGGTTCCTTGAGAGCAGAGTGGCTGTTCCAGTAGTCTGTCTACCCACTGTAGTGCTAGATGCTATAGGGTGCAGTTGTTGAATTAATAAACTCTGTTGAGTTAATAAACTCTGCAAGAACTTTAATATAGTGCATAACTTAGTGGCTAGTACTGAATCAAGAATTTGCTTCAGACTTGTGAGAATCAATAAGTTACAGAGAAAAAAGAAAATAAGTTACAATATTTTATATAGAGTTCTGTGGTTTGCATACCTTTGGATTTTGTGCTGATGGAAAGTGTATCCACCCCTGAAACAGTAGAGACATTTATTGCTAATGATGGTAATAAAGAGTATAACACAAAATGGACTAGGCAATCTCTCTTTTTTCTTTTAGAGCCTGTTTAATAAGTTAGTAGAACTCACTGAGGAAGCCAGGAAAGCATATAAAGATATGGTTGCCGCAATGGAACAGGAGCAAGCTGAGGAAGCCTTAAAGAACGTGAAGAAGGTGCCGCACCACATGGGGCATTCTCGGAATCCCTCTGCAGCAAGTGCCATTTCTTTCTGCAGTGTGATTTCCGAACCCATCTCTGAAGTAAATGAAAAGGAATATGGTAAGTTGTTATATACCATTTTAAATGACTGAAATTTTGAAATAATTTAATTATTAAAGTCATTTTAAAAATGACTTTCCATGACTACCTTTTGTTTTATTTTTCTTGATTATGCAAATTTTGCTCACATATTTGGTTTAAAAATTGCGTTAAACACCTCCGTTGAAAGTTAAGAAAATATTTGGGGCTGAGAGCTTCTGTTAGACCCTGAAATTAAGTTACGTTTCCAAAATCTTAAAAAGAAAAAAAAAGAAATCCCAAAGGGATTTAAAAAAACCAAATGTACCATTCTTCTGACCTATAACTAAGTAAATTCTAGGAAGTTTTATTCTAGTACTTTATACTGTTTTTCAATTCACTGTCATTCATATAAAAATACTTATTGAACGTCTACTTTGTGCCACACCCTCTGGGTATAGAGGAGAGATTAAGCCTAACATCATGCTTAGTCTTCTGCAGTTTGCAATACAGTGTAGAGAAAGCTATTATCCAGATAATTGGAGAATGTGACATTGGGGCTGGGAAGTGATTAAGCCCTCATCTGTTTATACAGGTAAAAATTAAAACTATTAAGGTTAGGGCTTGTGAGACAGGTGAATAGCAATGGATGAAAGACAAAATTCTGTAGGTGAAAATCTGAAGAAGAATGAGTGGTCAGAGGGTTTGTTTCAGAAGCAAAACATGAGCAAAGATCCTGATACTTTATACTTGACTATTAAAATTTTGTATCTAATAAGTAAACAAAAGTCCTAAATATTATTCAGTCTAAACTTAGCAAACCTAGATATGTGAGATTTGTCCTGAGTTAAATCTGATGGTAGTCAAAAAGAAATACAGACTAAATACAGCATTTATGTATAATATTTAAGGTAACAAATATTGACTGTAATCTACATCTTAGTAGTTAGTTGCCTTACCTTATCTCTATAATACTTTGTACTAGAATACTAGCTCACTTTCTTGATCTCATTTCTGATTCACTTCTTCAGTTCTTTTTTTAAAATAGCTTAGCCACCTCCTTCAACATGACTTCTTCTTTCTCTCTTCAATCTTACCTGAAAGTTTACCAAATAGCTTGTTGCCACCTAAAATTTAACATGTAAAAAACTGGGTCGTTCACCGTTTGGAACACTTTGATGATGCCCCAGACTAGAGGCAATTAACAGGTTATTGTGCACCTTTTAGAAAACTCTTTTGGCCAGGGAAAGGTGATTCTGGCTTAGAGGCAGACATATTTCTTCAACTAAAATGATACTAGTTGAAAATAAGATAAAGGGCAAACTTTGTAAATGAGATCAGTTCTCTGTACTGCAGTGTGCCGGGTCTCAAAGATAAACTGCATGGTAAATTCCTAAAGCTGTGGGTTTAGGGAAATGACAGTGATCTGGGCACATTTGGGCACATGAAAGAACAAAGTACCAGATTTAAAATGTTCAAATATTGAAGCCTTGATTTTTCCATACTCTGCCTGGGGCATTTAACCATAATTGACTAATTTCTGACCCTCAGATTTGTCTTCAGTAAAATGAAGAGGGCTCATCTAGGTCCTATAAGGTTTAATTCAAAACTAAAGTTCTCTAAACTAATGGTTGAATTCTAAGAGGAGTTACAGTTATACTGTGGAAGTGACAGATTCAGGGGATTAGGTCTGATAGACTTGAGTGCCTGAAGAACGATGAATGAGGGTTCGTGACACTGTATAGGAGGCAGTGATCAAGGCCATCCCCAAGAAAAACAAATGCAAAATGGTTGTCTGAGGAGGCCTTACAAATAACTGAGAACAGAGAAGCTGAAGGCAAAGGAGAAAAGGAAAGATATACAGAGTTCCAGAGAATAGCAAGGAGAGATAAGAAAGCTTTCCTCAGTGATCAGTGCAAAGAAATAGGAAAACAATAGAATGGGAAGGACTAGAGATCTCTTCAAGAAAGTTAGAGATACCAAGGGAACATTTCCTGCAAAGATAGGCACAATAAAGGACAGAAGTGGTATGGACCTAACAGAAGCAGAAGATATTAAGAAAAGATGGCAAGAATATACAGAACTGTACAAAAAAGATCTTCATGACCCAGATAACCACAATGGTGTGATCACTCACCTAGAGCCAGACATCCTGGAATGCGAAGTCAAGTGGGCTTTAGGAAGCATCACTACGAAAAAAGCTAGTGGAGGTGATGGAATTCCTGCTGAGCTGTTTCAGGTCCTAAAAAATGACGCTGTTAAAGTGCTGCGCTCAATATGCCAGCAAATTTGGAAAACTCAGCAGTGGCCACAGGACTGGAAAAGGTCAGTTTTCCTTCCAGTCCCAAAGAAAGGCAATGCCAAAGAATGTTCAAACTACCACACAGTTGCACTCATCTCACACGCTTGCAAAGTAATTCTGAAAATTCTGCAAACCAGGTTTCAACAGTACGTGAGCCAGGAACTTCCCAGATTTTCAAGCTGGATTTAGAAAAGGCAGAGAAGCCAGAGATTAAATTGCCAACATCCGTTAGATCATAGAAAAAGCAAGAGAGTTCCAGAAAGACACCTACTTCTGCTTTATTGACTACACCAAAGCCTTTGACTGTGTGGATCACAACAAACTGGAAAATTCTTAAAGAGATGGAAATACCAGATCACCTGACCTGCCACCTGAGAAATCGGTATATAGGTCAAGAAGCACTGGTTAGAACTGGACATGGAACAACAGACTGGTTCCAGATTGGGAAAGGAGTACATCAAGGCTGTATATTGTTACCTTGCTAATTTAACTTATATGCAGAGCACAGCATGCGAAATGCTGGACTGGATAAAGCACAACCTGGAATCAAGATTGCCAGGAGAAATATCAGTAACCGCAGATATACAGATGACACCACCCTTTTGGCAGAAAGCAAAGAGGAACTAAAGAGCCTCTTGATGAAAGTGAAAGAGGAGAATGAAAAAGCTGCCTTAAAACTCAGCATTTGAAAAACGGAGATCATGGCATCTGGTCCCATCACTTCATGGCAGATAGATAGGGAAACAATGGAAACAGTGAGAGACTTTATTTTCTTAGGCTCCATAATCACTGCAGATAGATGGTGACTGCAGCCATGAAATTAAAAGACACTTGCTCCTTGGAAGGAAAGCTATGGTTTTCCAGTAGTCATGTGGATATGAGAGTTGGACATGAAGAAAGCTGAGCACTGAAGAATTGATGCTTTTGAACTGTGGTGTTAGAGAAGACTCTTGAGAGTCCCATGGACTGCAAGGAGTCAGACTGCAAACCAGTCAGTCATAAAGGAAATCAGTCCTGAATACTCATTGGAAGGACTGCTGCTGAAGCTCTAATACTTTGGCCACCTGATTCGAAGAACTGACTCTTTTGAAAAGACCCTGATTCTGGGAAAGATTGAACGCAGGAGGAGAAGGGGACGACAAAGGATAATATGGTTGAATGACATCACCAATTCGGTGGACATTGAGTTTGAACAAGCTCTGGGAGTTGGTGATGGACAGGATGGCCTGGCGTCCAGCAGTTCATGGGGTTGCAAAGAGTCAGACATGACTCAGCAAGTGACTGAACTGAACTAAAGATTCTGGTATATGATCTGATTTGCCAGGATGCCAACAAAATGAGTGGAAATAATCATAAATAATTTGCTTTGAGAATAAAGCACAAAATTACTCTATTGGTATCAGATGTATTTGGCACAGACGTGAAGCCCACTGATGTGGCCTCAAAAGTTAGAGTGTTTAATTATTTCACTGTGTTGTCAAGATCTCTAGCTCTTTCCTTCTCTTTTCCATTTTCAGTCTGAGACTTCTTATTCCTGTGCTTCTCGTCTCCTATCCATGAACAGCTGCGTTGGCTTTGGTCATCACAACCGTAGTCAGAAAGCAGGATGTTCAGGCAGTGGGCTGCTCTTATCAGTGAAGGAAACAGTTTTCAGAAGCCTTCACCTTTTGTTTCATTTGGCCAGAGCCAATCATGTCACTGCTTTTAACTGCAAGGGAGATATGGGGAAGAGATTATTTGGCAAAGGAGAATGGGATAGTTGTGATAGTCTGAGAACAATTTTAATTCCTCCTGTGGGACTGAGCTCAAGTCCATCCCAAGTTTGGGGGCTCTGTTAGGCAGGAGGAAAACGAGGAATCACTGTTGGGTAGACAACAAATAGTATCTTCCATGCCATCCTTGTGTAAGATTTCGAAAATGTTTTTTTGTGATTTCCACAGTGTAAAGAAAAAACGAACGGGGAAAGGATTGCTAGACACTGGTGGAATAGAAAGGCTCCTATCAAAAAGGAAAAAAAAGGCAGGCTCCTATCATGGTCCAGTGTTACTGTTCTTTGTGTGCACCTTAATTGTTTTCTTTGCTTGTGGTTTCCTTCCACCTGAGTTGAGTCTCAGTTCTGTCATACTTACGTGAAACAGTTTCAAACATAAATCCCAATTAAACTTAAGTTTTTTGAGATAGAAATTTGGCACGTAATGGGCACTTTACATATAATAATAAAAGCTCACATACTGAATTCTAATTAGGCACTTTTTAAAACTCTTCATGTTTATTAAGACATTTAATCCTCTGAGTAGTCCTTGGAGATAAGAAATATTGTACAGAATTTTACAGATTAGAAAGCTAAAATGAAATGAGGTAAATAACCTGCCATTGTCACACAACTCATAAGTTTCAATGTAAAACCTATATTCTTAGCCAGTGTGATGTGAATTTCCTCTTTGTTGAATGAATTCCCAGTAGGACCATACAGTAGGTTTTCAATAACCACTTATGAGGGAGGACTACCTCTGTCTGTCTTGAGTTTCCAGCTCATTCTCTGCCACCACGCCTTCTTCTGTCGGCTCTTGAAGTGACTTGAGTGTTCCTTTATTGTATAAAATCTAAAGATGGATGGCTTCCCTCTGTGTACTAACTGAAGGGAGAAATATACATACCTCATCCTCTGACAAACCCAGTAGTGATTTGAAAGTTGAAAAGTTACTTTCACAAAGAACCAGCTAACAAAACAGAAAGCACTGAGGGGTTCATAAGCAAAAGAACAGCTGTATTGAATAAGTTCTGCTAAAATAAGCAGTTTAGAAGCAGGTTTGCTTTGGATCAGTAATATTTCCAGGTTTGTTGAGATCTGTGACTCTGCCTTTAAATTGCTTCCTAATCCTTTCTTCAAAAGTAGACTTCCAGATGTGCTGTTCTGGCTTTGACTGCCTATGTTTTTCCCTCCCTCCTACCCACCAGCCCCTCATCCAAAGATGGCATTTTCATACTTGCTCTTTTCTCCTCCCCATCATAGTCATGTGTTTGTGTGTGTTGATCAGGCTTCACCTGTTACTGTAAGGTGGCAGCCGGGCCCTTCCCTGCATATGTGAACTCAGTGATCTTTGATCATTGTGATAAGTCTCTTGATGGCTAATCACAGAGTCCCTTGTCTCTGCTTCCAAGGTCATATCTCCCTCTCTTTTCCAAAGGACCCATCTGGCTTTCAGCTTACCTACCTAGTAGCAGAATGCCCAAGACAGAACCTACAGAGAGATCAGCCCTACTCAGTCTTTTTCTTTCTCCTGTTCCTTTGGCTCACTGTCAGGGGAGAGGTGAGGCTTTTTCTGAGACCCCATGTGAATTCTTACAGTGCTTTTGAAAGAGAAAAATAAGTGTTGGAAGGAAATATAATTGTGTGCCTAAATTTTGTAAATTTTTTTACTTTTTAAAGTTATTTTCTGCAGAATTAATTATATATGTGAAATTTTCATTTATTGTAAAGGCTTATTTTCCAAGCACATACTGCATGCTAACCTAGGAACACAGATGGATGGGAATGAGGAGGGAGGAGGAGGTAGAACAGCAAACACAAAACAAATGCATTTGAACCAGATACGCAGAAAGTGCTGTGGGACTTCAAGTTAGTGATCTTCTTTCCTAGGAAAGTTAGGAAAGGCTTTACAAAAAACATGACATTCAAGGGTGTTATCAGAGCTAGGTAGGACTCTGAAGGGGAAAGGAGGAAAGCACATTTCATATAGAAAGAACAGCTTATGCAAAGTCAAGCATAGTAAACAGAAAGGGTGTGACTTCTGTGAGCAGTGGAAATTCAAAGTGACCTTGACCTGGAATGCATGACAGGGGGTTAAAATGAATGGGACCAGAAGGAAGATTATGAAGGGGCTTCAGTCAGTTCAGTTCTGTCGCTCAGTCGTGTCCGATTCTTTGCAACCCCATGAACCACAGCACACCAGGCCTCCCTGTCCATAACCAACTCCTGGAGTCTATTCAAACTCATGTCCATCGAGTCGGTGGTGCCATCGAACCATCTCATCCTCTGTTGTCCCCTTCTCCTCCTGCCCTCAATCTTTCCCAGCATCAAAGTCTTTTCAAATGAGTCAGCTCTTTGTGACCCCATGAATCGCAGCACACCAGGCCTCCCTGTCCATTACCAGCTCCCGGAGTTTACTCACACTCATGCCCATCAAGTCGATGATGCCATCCAGCCATCTCATCCTCTGTTGTCCCCTTCTCCTCCTGCCCCCAATCCCTCCCAGCATCAGGGTCTTTTCCAATGAGTCAACTCTTCGCATGAGGTGGCCAAAGTACTGGAGTTTCCGCTTCAGCATCAGTCCTTCCAGTGAACACCCAGGACTGATCTCCTTTAGGATGGACTGGTTGGATCTCCTTGCAGTCCATGGGACTCTCAAAAGTCTTCTCCAACACCACAATTCAAGAGCATCAATTCTTGGTTATGTACTAAATTAAGGAGTTTGGATTACTAAGGTAATAAAAAGCCAGTTAGTGATGTGGTCAGTTCACAAAGCCAATTAGATACCATAGATGTACAGCAAGGTAAAGAAGGCTTGAATGAAGGCAGCAGTGACCAAATTTAGTAGTTTTTTGGCTCTTGAGTGACATGGTATAGTTATGAGTTCAATGGAGAAAGAAAATTAAGGATTATTGTAAAGTTTCTTCTGCTTTGAAACTGAAAAGGACATTATTAACTGAGAATGAGAAGGAGATTTTTCATGAGGTAGGAATGCAAGTAGAGAGACCTGTTCTATACTTGAAGTAGCTGCAGGAAAGAAAGATTTTTTTCCCCAAACCATGTGCCCTAACTTCAGGTGGCCACAATATGGTATGTAGCGACAGGATGAGATGGTTGGATGGCATCACTGACTCAGTGGACTTGAGTTTGAGTACACTCTGGGAGTTGGTGATGAACAGGGAGGCCTGGCGTGCTGCAGTCCATGGGGTCGCAAAGAGTCAGACATGACTGAGCAACTGAACTGAACTGAGCAACATATAATTGATAGGTGGCAATCAAGTATATTTGTATGAAGAGACTTGCTTTATCACTATAGTTTGATCATTATGCCTATAAAATGAAGATATCAGCTACAATACAAATAGAAGGAAATTTTTATTTTTTAAGAAAAGGCAAAAACAAGTGGGACTACACCAAATCAAACAGCTCTCTGCAGCAAAGGAAATAAATCATCAACAAAATGAAAAGGCAACCTATGGAATAGGAGAAAGTATTTGCAAATCGTATATCTGATGAGGGGTTAATATCCAAAACATAGAAAGAATTCATGCAACTCAATAGCAAAGAACAAATCAGACTTAAGAATGGGCAGAGGATCTGAATAGACATTTTTCCAAATAAAGACCAGTAGGTACATGAAAAGATGCTTAGCATCACCAGTCATCAGAGAAGTCCCAAACAAATCCACAGTGAAACATCTCACAACTTGTTAAAATGGCTGTTGTCACAATGGCAATAAATAACAAGTGTTTGCAGGGACGTGGAGCAGAGGGAACCCTTGTACACTGTTGGTCGGGATGTAAGTTGGTGCAGCCACTAAGGAAGACAATATGGAGGTTCCTCAGAATATGAAGATGAGAACTATCATATGATCTAGCACTTCTCCTTCTGGGTATTTATCTGAAGAAAACAAAAACACTAGCTCAAAAAGAGGTATTCACCTCCATGTGTATTACAGAGTTATTTATAGTAACTAAGATGGAAGCAACTATCCATCGGTAATTAAAGAGATAAAGAAGATTGGTGGGTAAAGATTTGGGGTATGTGTGTGGGGGGGTGTGTGGGTGTGTGCCACATACACTGGAATATTATTTAGCCATTAAAAAGAATGAAATCTTGCCATTTATGATAACAAGGATGAGCCTTGAGGGCATTAGTGAAATAAGTCAGAGAAAGACAGATACCATATGATTTCACTTTCATGTGGAATCTTGAAAAAGAAACTCCCCAAGCACATAGATAGAACAGATGGGTGGTTGCCAGAAGCATGGGGACTAGGGGTGGGTGAAATGGATGAAGGAGGTTAAAAAATTACCACCTTCCAGTTATAAAATAAATAAGGCACGGGGATCTAATGTACAGCATTGTGACTATAATAATAATATTGTACTGCATATTTGAAAGTTGCTAAGAGGGTAGATCTTAAGAAAAAAAAAAGTTGTAATTCCGAATGGGGATGGATGTTGACTAGACTTCTTCTAGTGATCATTTCTCAGTACGTGCAAATACTGAATCATTATGTTGTGCACCTGAAGCTGTTACGTTTTATGTCAGTTATATCTCAGTGATAAAAAATTAAATGGAAAAAGTAAAACACACAAAAAGTATGTGCGAGACTTAGCTTTTCACCTCCTGATTCCTAGTACATTTTTGCTATAAACTGACTACCTGTTGTTAAAAATAATACAGACTATCACCACTGTATGAAACAGTAACATTATTTTTTTGGCTCCAGGGTCATTTGGTAAGCCAAGCAACATACATATATTGTAAAACACATTTTCACAAATGTTAGAAATGCGTGCATGGGTTCTTTGCTTATAAATGGAAACACAAGTTCCATTACAGGCCAAGAGACAGCTCTTAGATAACTTGCTAAACGAGCACAATATAAACCTGTCAAAAAAGAACTCTTTCTTTTCTTTTTTTTAATCAGAGCATTTCTAATGGGCATTTTGGCTCTGCCATCTGTGACTTGTGGATCCTTGAGCCCAGGACACTTTAGGGCCAAAAAAAGTTAGGCAGTTCATTGATTTTGTGAATACATGGGTTTTATATATGAGAGTCAGTGAGCTTCTGGTACTATTGGATCGTCTGCATTCTGAAGTATTAATATACTTATTTGGCCTCTTTGTTTCTTCATGTTAAATGTACTGATTTAAAAAAAATTTTTTGAGTGCTGTTTTCCATTTATAACATTTAAAGTAGTACTAGAATAAGCTAAGTTTTTAGTTTTTTCAGTTAGTGAGCCAACAGATTTCTGTAGCCTGTTCTTCCCACTTCTAAAAGTTGCATGATTCTGAAACAGTGTTCTGGTTTTTAAAAAATCTGTTTGATATTTGCAGAAACAAATTGGAGAAACATGGTGGAAACTTCAGATGGGCTAGAAACATCAGAAAACGAGAGAGAAGTTTCTTGTAAGCACAGCACATCTGAAAAACCGAATAAACTCCCATTTGACACAGCCCCTGTTGGTAAGCAGGCATCATTAGTGACTGCAGGCAGTGCTACCTCAGCTCCAAACCCTGGAAAGTCAACAGTGGGCGACAAAGAGGAAGTGAAGCCAGACGACCTGGAATGGGCCTCACAGCAGAGTACAGAGACTGGCTCTTTGGATGGCAGTTGCCGGGACCTTTTGAATTCCTCCATCACCAGCACCACCAGCACTCTTGTCCCTGGCATGCTTGAAGAAGAGGATGATGAAGAGGAGGAGGAGGAGGAAGATTACGCTCACGAACCCATTTCTGTAGAAGTACAGCTCAATAGTAGAATTGAGTCTTGGGTCTCTGAGACCCAGAGAACGATGGAAACTCTTCAGCTTGGAAAAACCCTTAATGGTTCTGAGGAAGATAATGCAGAGCAAAGTGGGGAAGAGGAAGCGGAGGCGGCTGAGGTGCTAGAGCCGGGGATGGATAGCGAGGCCTGGACTACTGATCACCAAGCAAGCCAGGAACAGCAGAAGCCCAGCAACTGCAGCTCGCTGAACAAGGAGCTCTCTGATTCTGATTACACACCCCCAAATCTATAACTCAGGAAATGTCAGCTGTCTGTCTCTAACTACATAAGGGTTATAGCCATTATCTTTCATGCTTCATCTCAACATTTTACACTGTCTAGTATTTAATATATGTATTTAATTCCTGACAAATATTTTTTAGCCTTCTTTTACTTGTTTTGTGATCCACGGCTTAAGTGTTAATTAGCATCTGTGTCTTTCTAAAAACTGTGTGGAAAATTTGGAATTGTTTCAGCTTTTTTATGGACAATAATGATTTTAAAAGAAGACCAGGTTTTAAAGAAAGTAATTTTAAAATGCCTATTTAGTAATTTTGAAAGCTAAAGATTGAGGTTCTAAGGACAGGAGCAATTACCAATGTTTGCTTCAATACAACACCTCCTATACTCTTAATTGTCTGACCAAAAAGTTGTTTTGGTTTCTTTAAAATAAAAGAAACCTGGAGGTAGAGTTAGAAAACTTAAAAAATGGCTGAGGGTAAATAACTAAGTTCACAGAGTGATTTGTGTTAAAAATTGATGCAACTTGTATTCAGTTCACAAATGCGTATTTCAGTAGTCACTGATCATTATAATTGATTAAAGTTGGTTGGCTAAGTAGAGCCTCCAATACTTAGGCTGGCAAGGGAATTACCATGACAGATGAGAGCTGGCCTTATTTGTGGAAAGTGATAGATGTTTAAATAGTGAGAAGTTGCCCCTTAGAGGACCTTCTGGTTTCTGGTTCACATTCGCTTCTTAATTACCTCAGGAATGCTCTTGTACATAGTTGTATTTGCATAAAATTAGGCAAACTTTGACAGGTGAATAACTGTAACCAGTTGTATGACTACAGCACTTACATGTAAATTATCCAGAAACAAAGTCTTAACTAGTGTGTTCTCTTGCATGCTTCTGATTTGGGATTCTCTGGACTTGAGATATGGATTTGATTGGGTATTCAGACTTGTCCAGAGTGAAAAATCATTGCGCCTTTTAAGAAAACTACTTTGTCCCTAACCTTGAGCACCTGCTATATAACACTGACCATAGTTACTGATGGGAGTCAGGAAAAGAAACTGTATGCAGTTGTAACATGTATCCTGATAATCAAGGCTTGGAAGAAGAAGTTTTGAGGAAAAGAGAAAGTTGTTCTAATTGTGCCGAAACTGTTAGATTTTAGAGTTGGTAGGTAGGCCGCAGGTATTAATTCTAGATCATTGTTTATCTCTGCCCTTCTTCTGGGATGTTTAAACTCTTGGGAGAAATTAAAGTTAATGAGCTAAATGTTTTACTAATCAGTCACCACCTGGTAGTAACCTTTGCAGGTTTATGATGGTGGGAGAATTAGGAATTACCTTTTTTCTGTCTTCCCTCCAACCACTTACAGTTGGCCAATATGTGTGTGCGTGCACACATACACACAGATGCATGCCAGCTTTACACTTTCAACTCCCATAAGCAGGCACAGAACTGAAGAGGAAGGGGTGTTTTCCTTGTCCAGGTTTTATGGGGCAGAGAGTTTTGCCTCACCGAGGTGAATTGGGCAGATTCTTTACTGAAGCATTGGGACTACTGTTCTGATATTGATGTTTTATAATCCTGGCATTTAATTACTGGTGAAACCAGATTCTTGGTTGATGACTTATTTGTTTGTGAATTGTGAAAGTTTACGAGCATTGCTGTGTAGGAAATGTCAGTCTAACAACTTTATTAGTGTGCTAAAAGGGGACATTACTGTAGTGTCCTGTCTAAACTGTTCTTCAGCGCAGACTTCTTAGGCACAAAGTGTCCAGTACTTACAGGAATGTAGCATGTAAGGAATGAAGCCTCTCAAGTGGTAATCATGGATTTATATGTGGCAGATCTTAGTGTCTCTGTACATTTGGAAGTGTTCATTGATTTAAAGAAATGATAGAGATTTTGAATTACTGACAGTCTTAAAAGTAAATTGAAAACTTTTCATACTTTTTAATGGTGTAAATTTCCTTTGCTTTCTGTCAGTGATTCAGATAACTCTTGATCTTAAAATAATGAATGACTTTTCAAAGGTTTCTTATATTTTATACCTCTACTGAATGAGAATTGTCATTTTAGATTTTTGACATTTGTATCAAAAGGGAAGTTGAGGAAATCTTCAGAACACCAGTAGCTTTGAATTTTGCTATAGACTTTAGAAGTGTTCAATTATGTGTTTGATAAATGCTCTTGCATGTGCAGTATCTTCTGCCAGCAAAGCAAACCAAGGGACCACAGCATTTTTTATATGAGATAGTTGACCTCTAGAGGACAACCCAAAATTTATTAAAGGAAATGCTACTATGTAGGATGTATGCTTAAGTAATTATTGATAATGTCTTTATAATTCATTTCCTTTAGATAAATTCTGGCATGTGTGTATATTGTATGCCGGCGGAGGTGTGAAATTAGGAAAGGTTTTTTTTTCTGGATCTGGGTGAGTGACTCTTTGGAGATCTAGAGAGATCTAATGGTAAGAGTAAGGGTTTATCATCACGAGAAATAAAAACCATAGTGATTTTTTTCTTTGTGTGTAGAGATTGTTTTACTGGCAATAATATTAGATTTCTATTTCAGTACATAAGTATATGAATTCAAGTATGAATTGCACTCCCACAATTAGATTTCTGCTTCAGTAGGTTTGTTTGCTGTGAAGATTACTTCTCAAAAGACAAAATGTTCATATTAGCTTATCTCTTGGTTTAAATATGTTTGTAAATGATGTAATATATTTCTTTTGACTAAAGATGGGGGGAAAAATGTGTGTTATACATGGAAAAGTTTTTAAAGGCTTTGACTGGAGGTCATTTTTGCAGAGATGGTATTTTATATGCTTCCAGTATTTGGAAAAGAATTAGTCAAAAGGAATTCACATAGTTTAAATATTGAGAAATTAATATCCAAATAATGTACTTGCCTGATTTCTTAATAAGCTGGGGGAGGTGGGTGGGGTGGGAGTTACAGTGTGCAAATGAGTAGTGAACTCCACATTCATTTTTTCAACTCTAACATAAAACTGTTCAATCCTAACACATTGTTACTTTAATATATGTATAAAGAAGTATTACTGTTTGTAAAGCTGCTGTTTGCTTCAAAATAAAACTGTCATTTAAGTATTTTCTGTATGTTGTGCCAACAAGGTAGAACATTAACTTATCCGTTTAAACACTTTTTCTTTTTTTGATGTTTAAAAATTTTTGTGAAGTAATTTATTATCTTCCTCCTGCCTTGTTCCTTCCAAACTTTACACACTTCCCAGAATCAACCAGACTGTTTGCCTAATCTGAAGTCTGAATCCTAATTAATGATAAAAATTTAAACATTTGTTGGCACATCACACTTTAAAAGGATTTGTATTATTTTGTAATTTAATTTCTAAATATACCACATGACTTTATAATTTAATGTCTTAACTGTAATGCTCTAATTAAAAGCTAGCAAAATTATTGTGAATTATAACATGAAGGGATTTTCATCTTGTTCTCTTGCTGTATGAAGGATGATTGTTATATCACATTTTAGAGGGTAATAACAGCTTTTTTGCACTATGTAAATACTAGTGGAGATTCTTCTGTAACTAATAAAATGATTATTGAAAGGTAATCTTGTCATTTCAGAATAGGTGCTTAAGGAATTTATGACTTTCCCAACATGTAGGATAGGGAAAATGAGAGTTCAGCTTACGGTATCCCTTAGTGCTCTCCTGGGTTAGTCCAAAGAAGGTTATGAAATTTGCAAGACAAAGTCATTAGTAAAAATCTCTGTTTTGGATGATTAGCGTGATCTGTATCATGGGTCTAACAATCTCTCCAGATACCATCTTACTATCTTAGTGTTAGGAAAAGTGAAAGTGAAGTCTCTCAGTCATGTCCAACTGTGCACCCATTACCCTGGTGTGCACCCATTACCTTACACCTCATTAGCAGGCATCAGTTACCCTGGAACCACTGGTGGTCTTGTTCAGACATTGGTCGTCGCCCCAGTGGGCCCCTCCCCCAAGGGATCAACTGTCAATGAAAGACCGATAGTGGCCCTACTCAGCCATTGGTCAGTGCTGCAGTGGGACCCTCCCCCAGGTAACCGCCTGTCAGTGAGCAACCGTTAGTCGGTCTGTGGAGAGGTAGTTGTTGCACAGAGAGTAAGGTAAGAAGCAAATCCTGGCCTTTTGCTTGGGGCCCTCCAGCTCACCCAGCCTTGGGCCACTGGGTGAGCAGTGGGACCCGGGGAACAGACAGAGGGCTGTGTCCTGCAGGGCTCTAGGGCCCTCGCCAAGGCCACCAACTGACCAGGCCCAGGCTTTGAGGCAGCAGTGAACCTCTGCCCGATCCTCGCCTTTGTGCAGACCACGAGTCCTGGCCCCCACTGTTTACTTGGCCTAAGGAGCATGAGGGTTGGCTGGATCCTGGGCGCCTGGTTCCATTAGCTACTGCTGGACAGGTTCTGGGGATCTGGCCCTGAGGTAGCCAGCTTCCAACTGAGATCTGCCTCCTTTTAGCCAGGACAAAGTCCTCAGGGTGTGAAAGTTGTGCCTGGGAGTCTTGCCCTTTCTTGTCAGAACAGAGATTTAGTAGAGGTTTACAGGAACATCATTCCCTGTCCATGACCAGATCTCAAGAACAAAGATTCTGACACAAGTTTGCAACAACTAACCACATTCCTCACTCACCTTTCCTAGAAAAGGGCTTTGCTGAAAGCTTTTTGGGGAGTTTGGGGTTTTTAAGGCATGATCTACTCATCTTGCATGGCCTTCAGTAAACTTTTCTCTGTTCCAGACTCCAATGTTTTGGTATCGTTTGGCCTTACTATGCGGCGGGCACACAGACTTGTTTCAGTAACAGGAGTATTTGTAACAGCAGGATGAGTAGAGTTCTCTGCTATATAGCAGGCTCTTACTAGTTATCTGTTTTATACATTGTAGTGTGTTAATCAAGTCCCAATCAAGTCTGTGCTTTTCTTCACTGTGTCTTGTATGTCAGCACCAGATGCTCAACGTGTGCAGACTCCGCAGTGCTTCCC